CTTCGTTTCGGATATTCATTGACACACGTGTAGCTACGATTCGGTCGAAGAAATATGCATCCTTCGTCAACTCAAAACGTTATAACTCGATTATGGAATAGTACGTGAAATAATAAGAAATCAAAACAAAGAGAACTAAGACAATCTCAAAAAAAAAGGATAAAATTACGAACTGTCTTCGCTATCCGAACAATAATACGTATAACAATAGTACGTATATCCGGCGCTTGAGAGATGACAATAGTTAATTCTTTCAAAATATTCCGGACCTTCCAGGCGATTTAAACATTTTCAAGACTGTTACACTCACGACACTTATTAGAAAAGTATCCCGAATCAAATTTGAAAATCTACCGCAAATCTCACCAATGCTGATGTTTACTTTTGAATCTCTAAATCATATCGAAATTTCTAACGCCAATAAAACATAATAAAACAAACAACAAATTACAAAAAGTTTGTTGTTTTATTTATCCATTGATCCTATTGTTCGTCCAAATTAATTATTTAATATTTTCTTATCGCACATGCTCTATTTGTACTTGAGCAAGTTACGTGATACGTTTTTTTTGTTGAAATTAAGTGTCGTATCTTGAAATTTATCGGTCCTCTTCATGTTCGATAAAATTTGCGGGGTTAATGTAGGACCGAAGTTTCGGCAGTCGCGCGCTTTCTCCGAGCCGCTCGAATGCCGCGAGCCAATCGTAAAAGAATGACAGTTGTTTCAGCGACGAGGCGAACGGTACTCGTTAAGAAACTGTGGAATGAAATACAATACGTAGCGCAATCTTGTATTCGAGCGAATCGGAACTTGATGAAATAATCGTCACTTCCGGAGTTCACGCGTTTTCGCGATTCGCCGTAAAATTTACCGTAAAATAATTCGCCGCCGAAAATTCGAAATGCGCAGTTTCACCGAGGAGCGGCTATGCTGGGAAAGGATTAAAACGAGGAAGGCGGAGAGGAGGCGCGCAAATGGAAGGCCGCGAAAACGATGTCAGCGCGACGAAACGCGATGCAGACAAACGGGGGCGGGGGCCGAGAAAGAGTTTAAGCTGGTTCGGTTTTCTCCTTGGCCTTTGCGATCGCGATCGTTTCCATCGGAGCGCGCGCGCCCGGGAGAGCAGTCGGTAGCCAAGAGGCAAGGAGCAAAAAAACTCAAAGCCGACGCCAATCATGCCGGCGAGCGGATTTTTATATCGGGCACGTACTGCCGCCGCTGCTGCGTATGTGCGTACATACATGTGCGCACGGTGACTCGCGAGATGCTACTGTAATGCAAAAAACAGAGACTAATACGCGGAGACTCGTGTAGATCAGTATCCAAGGATCTATTCTCCGATGGAATATGCACTTTTTACGTCGCCGTTAGCGAGCTCTCGCCAGTGTGGAGCTCACCAGGAGAGCAGAAATCGAAGCGCAATTTTACGAAAAAGGGGAATACGAGGAGAATCCGGGAATCTTATGCGCGGAAACATTTCTCGATCGAGTAGTTGGTAAGATAATTTGCCGGCGATGCGAGAAACCGGGAGAAATACTCGAGGACCGGGGAAAAGCATCTCTCGTGCGATAATTCGCTGTGTGATAGCGGTGGTAATTCTCTGGATTGACTTGGATTAACGCGAGTACGGAGAAAGTCCTGAATTTTCACGCGGCTAAAGTAGCCTCGCGCAGTCGTCGAATGATCGGTTGAATGATTGTCCGACGAGATGCGATCGACGCGCGTTGAAATCGCGCCGAGTGAAGAAAGCACGTTTCAACGACGGATTCCTCCTTCCTCAAGACAAGGGAGCGCGAAGGCATACTTTGTCCAGGAGTATTGCACGTATCGCATCGGATTTCACGTGGGGTCTGTGGTTCCTTGGAAATGGATACTCGGTTATGGGTTACGATCGCGGCAGTTTGCAGCCACGGCTGCGTATACCGCGGGTATACATAAGACGAGTACATGATACGTGCGAAACCTCTCGATTCATCGATTGGCACTTGAAAAGTACCAACGGTGGTATCGTCGGCATCAGGTGAAATCTGAAAGGCTCGCGAGAGACAAAAGTTACAATCAGAAGTCACGCAGAAGAAAAACATGCTAGATTCTAGTAAATAACTGCTCCAATATTCCTTGGCAAATTTTTCCTTGGATCAAGTCATATTTGATTAATATTACATTTTTATTTACTTATAAGTAAAGTATTTTCTAAGTAAATTATTCAAATAAAATATTATACTTGTAACCAGATATTACTTGATTCAAGTAAAAATTTGTTAAGGAGTAATTGTTAGAGTAATTATTTGCTTGAATCTAGCGCTTTTTTTCTGTGTACATTCGAATGAATAAATGAAAATGCGGATTTCGTTGAGTTCAGTCCACCGACGTATAATAATTAGACTGCGCATTCAGCCGAAGAGTCGTCAAATATTAGAAAGAAATAATTGCTGTACGAGTACCATTCTGTCTCCGTCTGATAATGTATAGAATGGGGATTTCAGTCCCACTATGAAAGGATTCTTTCCCGAGTCCCACTATTCGTCTTTAGAAAAAAGACGGAATGGTACCCATACAGCAACTATCTCTTTATACTTTCTGACATGTTCAAACAAAGGGAGATGTTGAGGCCACGCGGTCTAGTTATTATACGTCTATAGTTCGGTCTCTAAGATCCGTATTAATATTATATTTTACTTGAAGCTTGCTTCACACACAAATGAGATACTCGGATTTAAATTTAGAATTCGATTGTTGAAACTGAGAGTTTTCGAATTGAATCGTCTGATATACGTGACATATCTATAATCGTGATTCAACCGAAAAGTTGACATCTAATTCTAAATTCAAATGTATCTCGATTGAAATAAGTTTCAAGTAACGATTATTGATAAGGATCTAATATGCGCGTGTAATATCGTATATTTTCGAAACAACGTTAATATTGATGTATGGTAATATTAAATAATATTAATGCACTATAATGCAATATAAATATCAATAATATCAATACTAATAATAATGTATCAATCGCTAATAATAATGTCGATTGATAATAATAGTAACAAATGCTAATGATAATATTAAATTATACGAGAGAAATATAAACAATATACCCAGACAGCACAAATGTCCACACAATCTTGAGGTCGTGTTTAAGATGTCGTTATATAAAATCTCTTTAAGATGTTTTTAAGACGACTAAAAGACGTCTTATGTCCCGATTTTGGACATTGTGCTGTCCGAGTACGTTCAAATCGTGAAGAAACATCCGTCGCTTCATAAAAACGGCGAGAAATTAGTATTCGAGCCACGTGGAAACATTTCAGCGCGCGCGGATGCATTATTCTGGCAGCCACATGCGTATCAACGAACGCAGTCAGTCGTCGGTCAATCCGCGCCGAAGGCGGAATTGATATCCCCGAGTCTGAATTACGGATTGTTCCTATATGCTTTCTACACAGTGTTTACGCCTACGATTAAGTAGTGCGTTGAGGTAAGGGAGGACCCGGTACCGAGCTGCAGCTGTCCCGATCGCGTAGGACTGACAACGAGTCCGTAAACCGGCGATTTATTTAACGACGGGAGACCCACGCTTAACTGATGTTAGCGATAATTCCACTAATTCCGTTCAACTAGTAATTTCTATTTATGTATGGTGAATGTGTGCGATCCCGATATGAAATTTTATGCATTCGTTTATTTCAATTTCATTTATTTATCATAAATAATTGAATAAATAGTCTTCTTTTATAGATATTATAAAAATAGATATTTATGCGCACGATCAATGAAAAGTTTGTAATTTTGTCAAACGTTAAGATTTTGTCAGATTCTGTATTATTCGTTAGCGCTATATTACTGATAGTTATCGATAATAAAACTCACAAATTCCTGCAGTAGTTTCGAGTTAGTTTCACATGGTATTCTCCAGTGATAATTTCCCACTGGAAACGCTCGCGATGTTATGATGCGTAATTCCTATATTATCGAAGGTGTGTAAGTCAACTCCCATAATACTACCTGAGTTTAAGGTAGCTCCATCTATAAGGAAGATATAACGGTACGCTTCACCGAAATTACTGCAAGCTGGTACAAGCGAGATCTGTATTTCTGACAATCAGTAATCGTTCGTGAGTTTTCCTTCAGAAAAAAGAAAATGCAACAAATTTCCGTCAGAAAACGACCGACCGGTTCGAATATTTTTTCACTTTGATATTTATCTACCAAGATAATCATGAAATTTTTTAATATACAAATTAAATCAAGTGATCTTTTATCTCTGTAATAATAAAACATATCGGCTCAATAAATAAGGAGATTAAATTAAAAACAACCTGTGATGATTTTCCTCTTCGATTTTTTCCCGATTATTTCTCCCAACTAGTCCCATATTTCATTCTGAAAAGAACATTCGCTTCGAGTGCTTCATCGATGAACTCGTATATCGGTAGCTTTTGCGGAATTACGGTATACTTACCTGTATACCGCGCGAGTTGTCACATATATCGCATGAGTTCTCCGATCGCCTCAGAAAATGAAGAAAAATATAACGAAAAGTCAGATAAGAAATACAAAGTTAGGGAGAGATGCATGCACGATTGCAGCTACGCTGATGATTTTCTCAATCCCTTCTCCGAGTACTCTACCTAACCAGTTCAGTATCTCACTCTGAGAAAGAACATTCATTTCGAGTGCTTTATCGATGGACTCGATATATGGATAATTTTTACAAAATTACGATACACTTACCTGCATATACCGCGCGAGTTGTCACGTATATCGCATGAGTTCACCGGTAGCCTCAGGAAAGGTAAAAAGAAAAAAATAACAGAAAATCAGGTGAGAAACGCAAGTCAGGTCAGAAAAGTCGAGTTAGAAACGCAAAGGTCGGGAGAGATACATGCACGATCGCAGCTGTGCTGATGATGTGGCTTTCTGGCATGCCCTTACCTCACCGCCCTACACAGATATCAAGGGAAATTTCTTCGTGAAGAAAGAAGCAGGGGATCGAAGGTTGAGAAAATTGTGCGTTTATTAGTGAAGACGACGTTCGAGCAATCTCACCGCTTAATTTCATCGACGATGCCGACGCGAGGCCTCCGGAAGCCGCGTTGAGGTCCTAAATGAACGGCCTTCACAACAACCCTGTTGGAGACAAGAGAAGAGAGAGCGAACGGTACGATCGTCTTCAACAAAGACGCTGCCGGAAAATCCATACGTCACATATGTCTTTCAATACCTGCTTATGAATGTGGAAGCGGTAATAAGTAAAAACCGATGCAAAAATAAATTGAGACAATAAAGATATAACGGCAATCATGAACGATGCAACATTTTGGTTAACATTTTGGATTACAGCATAAAACACTTCAGATCGCAATATAAAACGATATAAATTGCCCGTTGTGAGTCTTGAGAGAATATTCGGAGCTATTGCGCGCATTGTTACATCGCTCTATCGACCCCTGTCTCGATCTAAACGCAACTCTCGCGCAATTGTCATTGCTCGCGATTTCCGTTATAAATCTCGCGTTCATCTTCCGCTTCGGTCGTCACGCGAGGCGTTATCGTCGATGTCGGATTTACGATCGACCTTGAGATCTTCGCTGGTTACTGTCGTCTTACGCTTCCCTTTTATATTCCGTTTTTATTTATTTTTTTTTTCAGTCGCGGTGGACAGGCTTGTCCTCGCGTCGAACAAAGGATCGAAGAGTTAAAAAGAATCGCGTCACTCTCTCGCATTCTCTCTTCCATTATTCTCGCACGCTCGCATTCTGAACCTATGTGGAACATAGCACATGTGTCTGTATATTTATATATATATATTTTTTCCTCTCCATATATATATATATATATATATATTTATTTATTTATATTTATATTTATATTTATATTTGTAATCATTAAATTTCCTCTCGTTCATTATATCTATCTATATATTATCTACAAGGGCAGTAGCCAAATGCTTAATTCTTCGCGAATGTTATCGTTTGTCCTGTCCGCTCTCGACGATGCCGACGATTTCGATCTGACTAGAGAGACGCGAGCACATGCCGCTCTCACCCTCCCGATCTCTCGATGATCTCTCGGGCGGGCCGTCTATCGCTTTTCGCATGTGTCACTTGTACGCTTAAAACGTCTACCTGACGCGCGATGCGTAGTACCGATATTTGTGTGTCGCGAGTGGAAATCGCGCCGCGATGCGCTCGAACTTCCCCGCTTCTCTGTTCTTTTGGTCGTTTCGCGATGAGCGGCGGGTATCATGTCTCCGTTGTGCCGTCGATGCGTCGAGATGCCAACGAGTCCCCGAGTATCGAGTCCGTGAAAAGAAGAGGAGAAAGGGGGGCGTGAAAAAATGCAACAACACACGCAGGTGGATAACGTTGAGTCGAGCTGCTTGAACTTACGATATGCTGTCGCGGCCGAGCGTCGCTCTCCTCCGGCCGCGAGATCGGTTCTCCACAATGTCGAGAAAGGTATTAGTGATAATGGAAAGTTCACGTTCGACACTCGCACTCGTTGCATTGATTGACTCGTGTGTCCCGGCGCAATCGGTGCGGACGCGGCGCGAGCGCCGCAGGGAAAATATCTCTCGGACGTTGCTCGATTAGTTTATTCAGCTTAGTATTTTCGGCTTTTACTTATATTTGACATTAGTCGCGCGACATTTCTGCCGGACGCCTCCTCTCTGATAAGCATCTCTTCGTTATTGTAAGATAATACCTGAGGGGAAATCTCTTGAGCGAGTTCACGCCACGTTCGCACCGCCGTCGTCATCGTGAGAGTCGCGGGAAGGCGAAATGTCAGACGTGAATCCAGCCGTAGAGAGCGTTTGCGCGGGATCTCTTCGGAGGGAGGACGATCCCGCGGAGGGATGAAGCGAGAGATGTCCGTGTGAGGAGCGATCGGTCGAAGCGCATCGCGGCCGAGAAGAAATCTGTCGTCGTCGGGCAGGCGTCGCGGCGCGAGAATGAATTGTCTTCGATGACGGTGACGGTGCGCGACGCCGATCGAGTCCTCGTGATTTTTCTTCAGCCTCCTTTTGCATCCTTTCTCTTTCGTATCCCGATCTTATCTCATACCCGCTTATCGAATAGCGTTACTAAGGGTTTCCGCGCCGCGACTCCCGGCCGCTTTTTTCGTCGATCTCGTTATCCCTTTCTCTTCGCGTTTCTCTCTCTCTCTCTTTCCTTTTCCCTTTTTCATCCGTAACAACGATGACAGTCCGATTTCGGCGCGACAGCCTCGATTTGACGCGAGTTCGGGAGCACCTGAATGTTTGCTTGGTTTTTTATCTCGTGGTTAGGCCTTTTGCTTCGCATGATCACGCGTTTTCCGATCGCGTATCCGCGTGACTAGATTCTACACGCGCTTGGATCAGACTGTGGGTACGTGTGTGCGTGTCTCCGGTATATATGCGTTTTTATGCGAGTCACCTCTGTGTATGTGTGTGTGTGTGTGCGTTCGTATCTGGTGTGTTCGTCGAATGTTGTTATCTTTGGCGATCGTCAGATCAGTTGCTCCTACGCACGTTCGATCTTTGGTGTGGTTCTCGCTGGCAGTAGCTCGCGATATCCGCCATGGGGATGACGCGCCGGGAACTAAACCGAAGATCCCCCCCGTCCATCGAGCTTTTCGTTTAAAGTGCTACGGAAGCGAACGCCGAGTCGATATTCTCGGCGAAGACGCTCGGCGTTCCGACGCTACTTCCCTCCCTCTCTCTCTTTCTTTCTCACCATCTCTGCGTCTCCTTTCCTCCCCCTTAACGTTTCTCTTATTCATCGGAATAAGTACACGCGGCTTTCTCGCGGCCTCGTCCTTCCAGAAGAGGAAGATTCGCGGGGACTACTTGCAATTATAGAAAAGTGCGCGCGCGATAAAAAATGCGTCACGTCACGTCACGTTACGTCACGTCACGTTACGATACGTTACCCTGAAGTTACAGCGGGCTGTAATGACGACGACGACTCGATTATCTCCCGAGCGTGAACCGTCGCGGTAACGAGAGAGAGAGCGATCTTGAGCAGATTAAACCTATCTTCGAGGACACGCGACACTCTCGGCGAGCCCCAGGGCTGCGCGCGCGCGCGTTAATCTTAAGATCACAGGAGACACGATCAACAGGATGCCAGCGGCTGCATCCTGCGAGAGGAATAAGTATCTGCTTCGGCGAAGCGCCGAGTCGCGAGCCACCCGACGGCTCGCGACGGCTACCGCGAGGAACCCGTTGCGTCCGATTCTTCGCGCAAAGAAAGCGTGCACTCGCGGGGCTTACCGGGCGGAGGAGAGACGACTAGATTATACGACGATTATCATCAACGCACCGACTGAAAGTCGAGTAGCCGCGCGCGGTCGTGCACCACGTAACAAGCGTTTCTCGTTTCGCCAGACTCGAGCCGTACGTAGTCTACCTTTTTCCCCAGTGCAGCGGGCGCAATTCGAATCACAACTTTAGGCGTTTACATATCCGCGAACTCGATCGATCGAGAGTTCTCCGCGTCGGACTCCTTTTCATTCTCCGCGGATGCTGAGAGGCCGAGGGAGGATCGCTTCGACAATTTTCGATCGTGTGAGCTCGCCGACGTGAAGCTGTTCTCTATGTTTGCGCGTGTGTGAATGTGTTCGTTTGTTTGTACGTATGTGTGATTCGAATCGTACTCGCTCTTAAACTAAGAAGAGCGAAAAGAGAGGAAGAAAGCTCGTAAGCGCTTTGAGTCGATCCTACGCAAGCTTCTGAGCTACCACGACGACGACGAAAAGTAAGATCGCGAGGCTCGAAGATCGATGGACCGAGGGTGTTCCGCGGATGGCTCGCCATCCCCGAACGATCTCGCGTGACCTTCTTCTCTTCCTCCCTCCCCTCCACCTTCTCTCTCTCTCTCTCTCTCGGCTGCGATCCACTGTCGCGTGCACGCGCTTGCACCGAACTCCTGGAAGTGGAACGCGAGCGATCAACGCGACCGACCGACCGGCCGCGATCTCGTCGTACGTTCAGTCATCATCATAATCATCTTCTTCATCACCACCATTATCATCATCATCATCATCGGTGTCGTAATGGCTCGCGTGTCGCGAGCGCGATTACGTGGCCCCGTTGCGCCTTCGCGTGGAAGAGCGAATCACTGAACAAGCCCCCAAGGCTTTTGGCGAGCAGATCGGCCGACCACCAGGAGGTTCTCTCCTCGTCCACCCGAGGGAGATGACTCACGGGTCCCGCGGGATTGGCGGTTTTCCCCGGATCGTCGCCGCGTGACCTCGTCGGCCGTGCTCGGGCGATTCCTCGCCTCGACCGAGGAGGAAGGCTTTTACCGGACGAATTTCCGCCGAGCGATTTGGCCGATCGACGCGTGGGTGAAAGGTGCTTGATAATTGATCTTGGTCCGCGCTCACGACGTCCCTGGACCGTCGATCATATGATTACGTCGCCCCGCGTTTGCCCTTCGACTTGCCGCTGTGCTCCTGCACGGTGCTTGGGCTCGGCGAGCTGCTGTTCAATCTGGCGACCCTCCGGTAAATCTCGCTGTTGACGAAGCGTGGATACGAGTCCCGGTGCATGAGGGTGTAGATCTGCAGCTGCGCCTCGTCGAAGGTGTGCGGCGTCGGCTCCACCATGTTGCGGTTGACGATCTCTCGCACCTGCGAGTCCAGACTCACCTGCAAAGCGAGACAGTGACGGAACAGGTTAAATTCAATCTGCCGGCGTGGTCTCGCGCGAGGGCACCCGCTGAGCTTTGCTAATCGCCGTCACCGCCCATTGGATCTACGTTTCTCTACGCCTCAAATTTGCTTGTATAATGCAAAAAATAGAATAATCATTAATTTTGCAATAATCTTGCAGATTTCGCGCGATAATTTAGGAATATGTATAGAAATTATCACAAAGCTGCAGAGTCCTGTTTCATGTTAGCTTAAGGCTCGGATACAATAAAAGGAACAAGGAAAAGGAATTAAATATAGAAAATTAGGAAATATAATAAAAAAGGAATATAAAATATTAGGAATAAGCTATAGTTTAAAGCACAATAAATGAGAACCAGGGAAAGGATTATTAAGAACCAAAGCGCGCATAGAGATTTTGCTGGGACAGCAAATTGTTAATATAACAGCAAGAAGATTTGTTAAAAATACTAATTTTTGATTACGCCAATTAAATTGTATCGCTGTCGCAACAATGTTTCGTTAAAACAGTAAAATTATTTTTTTTCGTGTAATAAATCTTTTTCACTATAAATACTATCTGTTATTATATTAATAAACAACTTGCTTCTTTTTTGTAAATTTTTTTCTCCGTGTGATTCGCGAACAAGAATTCAGTCGAAATAATTTTAAAAAGATATTCAACAAATGACACATGAACTGCAAACAAATATCTGTAACACGGCGTGTGTAAGCATCTTAAAGTAAAAATTAACAGTAACACACGACAAAGATAGTCCATAGGCAGGAAATGTTTTCAATGCTGGAAAGACGAAAATTCTCATTCTCATCACTATGCAGAGAGCTTAATCAAGACTACAATTCTCTTCCCGCAAGTGCTCTTCGCGCTTATTGTTTTTTAAAATATATTGTGTTATAAATACTGTATTTTTCTTGTTATATGAATATCTTTTTAAAATTCTTTTCACTAAATTCTCGCTCTAATCTCATTAATTGCTCATATAATTTCGTACGATTTACATAAATTTGTAAGTTGCTCTGTTGAAAAGGGTCTAAATAGAACCGAAACATTTGGGCATTTAACATAATTTAACGTAATATTAAATGTTTATGTGACTCTATTCACTGCGTAATGGCACTAAACGAACCGTGCTTAGTTCTTATTATTCCTTTCCCTTGACTTTCGATTATAGATCAAAGAATCTTTTAAATTATACCTTTTACAATAAAAGGAATAGGGAACAAGATATAAAAACATTTTAAAACGAAATCACCACTTTTACTATTTTCTAACGGACCTCTACTATCATTATTAATACTTTTATAATTTTCTCGGTAATTTATATTATTAATAATACTGACTGATTCAAACTGATTTCCATTAGTATATTAATGATCATTAGATATTTTTAAGATTAACTTTCAGTCAATTATTAAGCCTTATAAACATACAAGTTATAAAAGATAGAATTTCGACGGTAATCTTCCTAATTCTTAATTCCTTATTCCTTTATTGTGGATTAAAGCCTGTTTGTCCATATATCGTAATTTAATTCCTTGTCCCTAATTCCCTATAGTTAATTTCTTATTCCTTTCCTTATTCTCAGAATCACGGATACAGTTAAGCACACAAATACAGTTTAATAGAGTTGCTAATCTATAAAATTTTGCGTCAATTTCGAATTGCGATGTTTCTTCGGGAAATATGTTCGCTCGCACGTCGCAAGCGATTTGAGATAAGAAGCTTTCTGAGAATTATGGGTCGTAATATATGCACGGCGGCTGGTTTTTGCATGATCTTTTACGTTATCTCATTGAACAATCTCCATGATTATACCATGATGGTACAACGTACAAACGTAAGCGTACAATTTGTCGTAATGTTCGAACGGCAAAAGACGGGTTCGTGCATTCGCCCCGTTTGGGCGCCTGAATAGGTCGTTAATGGGGTCACTGGGTCATCAGGTCAGTAGGTTAATGTGAAAGAAATCAGTCACGCGCATTCGCAGTTTTTCTAGAACGGAGCTCTCTACTGTAAAACAAAATAAAAACGGTAGAGCAAAAAATATTCACGCTGTGTCCTGTTGCTCGTCGCTTCGAACTGCATTGAATTTTTCCCAGCTCCCTTTCTAATTCTTACGCGCTCGTGTCCTCGGGTTTTCACACCCGATAAAATGGCGCAATTAGATAATGCACCCTATAACGTTATCGATTCTGTCGTCAAAGCCGGCGGCTCCAAAGGGTAGAAATCGTTTTATGAAATATAAGTGCTTACGAGAAATGCATCGTGCCGACTAGTCAAAGTAGCAGATACCGATCGCATGCCACTGCGTATGTCATTACATTAATTGAACAGACACGGTTATGTCCGTGTTGCAAATGACTCGGATATTTCTAGGTTGATTTCGTCCTCAGATTATCTCTTGGACGAATCTACTGTAATAATTTGACACAATTTTCTTGTGGCAATAAGCATAATTTCTTTTACATCAATACCTTAAAACGTATGAATGTATGTAACGTACGTAAATGTATGGAACCCATATGACTAAAATATGTAAGTGATAATTTGCACCAGTAAATAACCGTTTGTTTAAAATTCCTGGCGATAATCTATTTATCTATATCTTTATCTTTTTATCTATAGGGAGAAAAATAAAATGTTAGGATCGTATTATTTTATCATTTCTCCAAGAAAGCTCCTATTAAAAAATTATAATAATTTTCGATCTAATGTATATCTTCTTCTGGTTGTGATCCAAAAAAATAGCAATATGTATGTAAGATTATTATCATTGACACTTTAATAATACTGTAGTAACTAGAAAAATGACTCTCCCGACTTTAATTCTTTCAGTTACGCGATTATATTGAATTAACGCAAAAATTCATTTCGTTTTTTAGTAAAATGCACACATAACATTTATTTATTTTAAAATAGACAATCAATCAATTAAATATGCGCTGTTTTATTGTTGACAAAAGCAGTTTAACGACCTGTCATCTCTACGATAACTGCATGATCTTGGGCTAGTCAAAATTCTGAAATTTCTGAACCAAGGTTCGATTAAAAAATGAAGGGAATTTTTACATGAACCCAATAGTTAAAAATACCAAACATTTTTTCCTCAATATGCGGAGACGAGCGTAGATTCACTGATAGGTCAATGATGAAAGCGGCCACTCATCGACTCCCGGCGAGAGCGCGCCCCGAACGAATCGCGATGACGGTTATTATGAGCGAGATACGACGAGAGCAGACGGGGTTACTCACTTCCTTGGGCGAAAGAATGGATATGTAATCCTCGTAAATTAAACGCGCCTTCTCCTCGATCGTCTCCGGATTGCTCTCCCGCTTGAGTTGCTCGCAGGCTAGCCAGAAGGCGATGTTCTCCTCGCTGTACTCGCTTACGAGGAACTCCCTGAAGAGATTGCGACCGGCGGCACTCCTCATCAGCTTGTCGAAGGACGAGCCCCAGGCTCGGATTTCTTCCAAGTTGCAGCACTCTATGCCGTCGAGACCGTCGTGTCCGTCGAGACCGTTACCCGCACCTGCACCCGCAAGGTCGACGCCGATGCCGCTGCCTTGCTCGCCGTCGACGCCGGCGTTGCCCTTTTTCTTGCCCTGCTCACCCGCTCCGGTGCCCGTCGAGTTACCGCCGACTGCCGCCAAACTGATAGACGACGGACAACGGATGTTAGAATCGTCGTGTGATCGTTCTCGTTATCGTCAATGATAACGCGCAAGGTCATGTTCGAATCGGGTTAGACAGGTGAGATCGCGTTCAAATCGAATTAGACGGGACGGATCAACGCGACGATCTTCCGACAGCAGAATTAAGTTGTGTTAACCCTCACAAGGGAAAATAGAGTACACGGAGAAAAATTTTTTGCTGGTATAGCAAATTGTTTGTTAGTATAGTGATAGCAAAGAGATTGTTAGGAATATTAATTGCTAATTATGCCGATTAAATTTTATTGCCGCCGCAACGACGTTTTGCTATAACAGCAAAATTATTTTTTTCCTGTAACAAATTCTTTTACTATCACTGTAGTAATGAACAATTTGCCGTGTCGACAAAAAATTGTTCTCCGTGTAGCAGGACGGGAAAAGTGAAGTCACGAGAAAGAGTTGATTCCGATATACAAGGGAAAAAAAGCGAAACCATTGCTACTGCGTACTCGTTGCAACATAAATAAAATTTAGTTGCCATAACCAAATTAACGAATTATTCGTAATTAGGATAGAAACAGTTTTGTTACTAAGATAAAAAATATTCTGCTAAGTAAATTTGATTTAAGGCACGTTAGTTTATTTAAGGCGAGATAGTGTTTTTCCACATTTTTTAAATTTATTTTCACAGCAAAATAATTTGTAGTTTTCAGCAAAATAACCCAGCGAATGGCAATTAGTATTCTTAATAAATCATTTTGCTGTCCATAGTAAATGACAGATTTTATTGCGACAGCATAAAACTTGCTGTGCCAGCAAATTATTTTTCTTTGTGCGTATGGATATCCATTCCATTTGATTAAAACAAGAAAAAGGCACAATAATTGTACGGAATAATAAATAAAAATATATTTTTCAAAAATATAATAATATAATAAATAAACATCTTGTTGATGTCATAAATAACCCTTATCTTTCCTTGCGAAAGTGAAAGCTGGAAGTTATTTGATGAGATTATATAATTTATTTGATACTCTTAATTTCGTAAAAGTTATCACCTTGTTTGAATTAAAAGTTGAAGAATTCTATCAAGGGGTCATTCCAGCGTGACAACCGAAAAAATTACTATATTTTACGAATTTTTTTTCATAGAAAGAACTAAACTATGGAAATGAAATTTTTACACTACTATATTTTTCTATATAAAAACTCTTGAAATTGTTTTCTATTTTATAAATGTTTTTAATAGAATAATTAGCTGACGAAGTTGGATCCTTCGTAAATGCATGCTTGGCTGGCATAAGAGATTTGACCAAAATTATCCATCTGAAACAAACAATTCAAAGAGATACTTGATCAGTAGTGTCAGAGTATAGCTATGTCTCGTACCAGAATTAAGTCGATAGATAGCAAATTAATAAAATAGCGCACGTCCAAAATTTAAGTATCGAAATCACCAATTTTTTTAATGATTTTACCGCATAAAAAATATGAAATTTTCAGCCAAAACATATGATTGAGGTACGGGAGATAGCCTAGGCATTCATGTATAGAATGACCTCTCAAAATTTCAGACTGATTGATTAAATAGTTTCTGAAACTTTACTTACGCCAACTAAAAAGTCTATTTTGAGAAAAATACGTTTAAAGTTATGTTTTGTAAATTTTTGTAAATATATTTACCTACGGCTAATCGGCGATGCCACTTTTCATATGCCTCAATTTTCTTCATAGAAGCTGTTCTGAAGTATTTTTTAATTCCGTCAAGTCATCGAGGTTTTTTTGAAGGTATTGTGCTTCAATCATTAATGGTGACGATACGCGCGTCATCGTGCTTCTCGGCAAACTCAAAGGCTTATGGCCTGATTATGGTAACTCTCATAACCTCCATTATTTTAAGGATAGAGAAAATTCATCATTGAAAGTGCAAACTGCTCAATGTGTGGCGATTTCCAAGATTTTTCTCCCGCAAAATGAAACCAACGGCCAGACGCACGAATTGAAACTTTCGTTATTGTTCTGCGTCTCGTTGCTCAGGCATCTTTCAAGCAAATCTTCCAACTTTAGCTCCTCATAAATAAGTTTTAGGATCATTGAAGCCTATTCACTTAATACAGATGAATGATGAGAATCTGTAAGCTTTTTTGCAGCTTCATGCTTGCGCTATTTACATAAAGAGTCCGTTCCTGGTGAACAATATGAGTGTTGCGGATTTTCGTCGGCAAAAATTTTACTATGATACGTCACCCACACGACTTTCTTATATCTGCGGCAGATTCCAAGTGTCGACATATTGCTAATAATATGTTGAAAGTTTCTCCATTAATTAGTTAATTAATTCTTGTTTTTTCACTGCCACACAATTTTTTTATTTTTTAGGCTGTTGATTTTCAGTCTGTTTCTTTGCTTTTTTTAATTGAGTCAGCTGCCTTTTGCTGCTTTCACTCTTCTATACATGCGCTTTTTCGTGTGAAACGCATTCTTTTTTTACGAAGAAATTTTCACCATAGAATTTTTCATTAAATAGAGCTATGAAAGTTTTTGTATCACCATCTCCGATGTAAAAAGCATATTTGACATCGTGTTTTTTTCTCAGATCTTTAGAACATTTCGAGCATTCTATCTACTTCCATTTTGCACCGCTGGAACGTTTTGCGTCACACTTTTCTTTATGATCGTTATACTAAGCTTCGTATTCAACTGTGTTTTTTTGTTTGCCTATTTTTCACAAGTTTTGCATATAACTGCATTTAACGATATATTCAAAATTTTATTAAAGTATTTTCTAATCGACTAAACAATGCCTAAAAGTGAAGAAAATCCACGTTTGGAACACAATCCATCACCCGACACTGTAAGTTCCGTTTTTGGTTTCCCTGCTTCTGCATTCATTTTTTTTTCTTCGTTAACAGTTTTTTTAAAACTACATTGATAACACTTTCGACAGCGAACTTGATATTTTCTATTAATTCATAATATAAATTATTGTTGAGTCCGTGACTCAAATCCATCAGTCCGCAAACATTTTGAATGCCATTTATTTCGACGCCGAGTATTCGTATAACAAGAGTAAATCGACGGTTAATTTTAAAAACATTATTAATCAGAATTTACTTATATTTCGTTGCACGAACACCTTGCACACAACTTGAAACCTAAACTTTGCTATCCATATTTCGAAAATTCTACATCACTATTACATTTTTGCACTTGACTAGTTTTGGTAAGTTTTTGAAAAGAAAGAAAAACCAAACTAAATTGTAAAAAGCAATAGTGCATATTTGGACCAATGTGCACGTGAAAACTGGAGTCGCGATTTTGCTGCAGTTTTGCTGTCAATGTACTGGCAAAGTTTGTGTTTTTCTCCGATTCCCACGAGGTTTCAAAGCAAGATAGTTTGGACACTTAGAACTTCATTTCCTTCCCTTTTTACCCATATTTCGGATATTGTCTCTATTAAATTCGAAAGTATATTGGTTTCTCGGCACTGCTTCCCTTACCACACGCTGGACCGCTCTGCCTCCTATACTAAAGTTGGCAGTAAGAGCTGAAATATTCCAAATTGCGCTCTGAAATTTTTATAGCATATTTTTATATTAATTTTTATAGTATATTCTTAAATACATATATTTTCCATTAATATGATTTCTGAAAAATCGATTTTTTCAAAGTTTCACACTGGAATGACCCCTTAAAAATGACAACTATTGCATTCGTTCTGTAATTTCGCCTAGAACAACACGAGCTCTACGCCTCCCGGATTAGAATTCGAATGATCGAGCGATACATTAACCCGACGAGCCTCATCAAATGACGCGTTCGGCGCTGATGATCGAATTGAAATTAGTCACGTATCATCGTGTCAGTATGGATGCCAAGATTCACGAATCGCGGTCTGGCTTCGCGTTAATTAGCACGATCGCGCAACGACGTTACCCGGTGATTTTCGTTTCAACGAATATCCAGTATGGTGGTGGGAGCGCGAGCCCGAAAGCGACGATAGCAGCCGAGGGTGTGTATGTGTGTATGGGTATGAATATTAAACTCAGTAGCCTCGGGAAATGAGGAGATAAAATGAGAGCCGGAGCGGGGAAATACGATTCCCGTGGACGAGCGCAAATAGTGGGAAATGCTAATGGGTAAACGATCGTTAGAACAGCTAATTTAAGTATTCGAGGCCGCAGGCAACGTGCGCGAGACACAAAGAGATGTAAAAAGGCGGCATCGAGCCGAATCGAGGGACAATATTTCTCTTGTCAATAGCAGGTATACAAAGCTGGTTTATCGGGAGCCCGATTCTTTGTGCCCGATGACACAGCTCTCCCATGGCGTTTGCAAGCCGCAACTGCGGAAATAAACGACATCCTAAAAGATTAATTAGATATTTGACGAAAACGATTCTATCCATCTTTCTATCTACCGGCTGCTCGTTATCCATTATCGTATTTCCGTATCTTCCGGAAGCTTCTTTGCGCGATTAAACGATCATACAGGATTTTGCGCGATATGAAATATTACAGAAATAGAAAAATTTTTGCTTTTCCCTCCTTTTTTTAAATAAATTTCCTGGGGTGTAAATACGTCAAATTGGCGTAACACGCGCGAACGAAGAACACGAATTTTTCCCGATTGGTGTGTATGTGTAAAAGCGCACGTCGCGAATTCCTGTTTGATTGATACCGATAATTATTCGCAAATCGATACGACACGTATGACAATCCGGTGAGCGCGGCCAAGCAAGGAAATTTCGCAAACGAAAAGGAAGACACACAGGTCATTGCGTAATATTGACAAGGCAGCTATCAGCTGCAGACTCGTTCCGTGTCATCGGCAAACAGCTAATGCATTTGCGATCTGTGGATTTACTGTGGCGAGTCTAAGTGTGGACTGTCGACCATCGAAAAATCTCGAATTTGCGAATCGTGTAAAGCGTACCGTACGGTTTAAAAATAGAGCGACACGCAGATGCGCTCGCACACGCGATTAAAACATCGGATCGGAGAAGGCATTTGTAAAAGAGTCCGCGTAATAATTATAAAATAAGTAAGTCGATACACGAGTCGCGCAAAGTATGGTAATATCCAGATAACTTTCTCTTTTTGGAGGACAATGGGGGCGGGGAGGTGTACTGAACTTTACTTTCACTACCTTCTTTATGGCCTTTGTCACGCTTCTCGCATTTTCTACATTTTTTTCTGTTTCTTTCATCCTAAAAGTTTCTAAAAACATTCTTTCCACAGTAGCGTGGAAGTAAGTAATTTCACATTATGTTGTGTTCTTACTTCTGAAGCGAGATAATAATCTAAATTTATAGTTAAATAAGGGCAACCTTACAATAGAAAAATGTTTTCTTGCTAATATTTCAGGATATCTATCATGGAACTGTTCGAGATGAATTCCAATCGGAATCATTCAGTTATTCTCTAGATTTTTTCTTGTATATTTTAGGGGATAATTAGACGATTCCGATTTGAGTCAATCTCGAATAAGTTCATAATACATGACTTGGAAAGGTTTTAAGAATTTCTGAAAGTTTCTGAACAAAAAACTGCAATTGTGTAACAATTGTCGACATTTGCATTATCAAAATCTGTTATATTCATATTGCGCTTTTCTCCTTCTTTTAAAAATAATTTTTTAGATCTATATAACATATCTTGGATTCTTTATGAGGTTTGGAGAAAATCAGAAAGTAAAAATATGCGATTAAATGATACGTATAAAATCTTTCTCAAAATGATGTAAATTCCTTTCTTATTAAGAATATTATAAAAAAAGGAATGACGCATCTTTTAGAAGAAGTTATTCATAAGAAAATGGAATTATTTTGTATTTATCTAAAAAAAAAAGTGAAATGAATATCAAATCACAAATAGTTATTTTTCTCCTTTAACCTTTCCTGATGAGAGACTTGGAATTACCATTTAGGAAATAGAAGAATAAGGAAGTAGATGATAAGGAAAGTCTGTATTTGTATGCGCAGCGGTTTTTGTCAATTTACTAAGAAATTGTGAGCACGTAAAATCACGAGTGTTCTCGAAATGACTCATGAATCACACTATGTTAGCAAAAAGTAATATTACAGATTTCTTTTTTCTGTAAATATGAGTACTTTTTCTAATAACATAATATATTTATGAACGTAATTTATTTCTTAATGTAAGAATTAAATTTTGTATGTGTTANCGTTAACTCGTGTGGCACCCACACATTGAGCTTCTTTTTGAATCCAGCCTCATTTAAATGGTTACAAACGGTTTTTTGTGCGATGTTTAGCTCCTTGGCAATCGAAACGGTGCTTACATGACGGTCGGACTCGACGATTTCAATTATTTTATCAACATTTTCGACAATTGGCTTCCCGGAGCGTGGTGCATCTTTGACATCAAAATTACCGGAACTGAATCGACGAAACCAAAATTGCGCATGATTGGCTCTTACAGTATCAGGACCATAAACACTATTCACATTTTTAGCCGCCTGGCTTGCGTTTTCGCCTTTATCGAAGAAAAACTGTAAAATATGGCGTATTTTCTCTTTGCTGGTGTCCATCTTTGACGCGCGCTCAAACAACACTGAGTCAAACAATCACAAAACTGTCTCAGAAGTTTTTTTAGTACAAAATCTTATCTTTCTAACGCCATCTGGCGTAATCCGATCGGACTTATACAACGCGAGATACAAATTAGTAAAGCCCTCTATTGGAAAAATAATGGATTACTTTTTACTAGACCTAATATATACGTATATGATTCATTTATTATTATTTTGTTTATTTCATTCAAAATAAAGAATTTTTTAGGTAAGAGTTGAATTCATTTATTATTTCTTTTAAATACCGTTTCATTTCGATGCTCGAAAAGAGACTATTTCATTTGTCCAAATAATTATATTCTTTTCACCAGGCATCACTAAACTATTTTTCTATGTGAAGAACCTTCCTTCAAAAATGTCAATCTACAGGGCTTTTGTTTTCATTCAATTCGTTCAAAAGTTACGAATTTTTTTCGAGTAGAAAAATCGTATGTTTCTGTGTTTTCCTCAAAAAGAAGAAAACATTGGAGGTTAAACAATGTCTATAACCGCAGGAAGAGACCTAAAATAAAGTCAAAGCACCATTTTTCATTTCTTTTTACACATAGCGAGAGAAGTGGTTCCGTTCACAAATGAATTACACAGCGTTACTGAAAAACAGCGAATTACATGAAAAGTTGAAGACATTTTTTGTATATAAGAAATCATTTTTATTAAAATTCAGAGTTTTGGCCAAAAATTTTTATTTTCAGATATTTATGCACCTCCACCCCATGTTCCGATTAATAAATTCAACATTAAAAGAAATGAATTGGAATAAAACTTAGTTATATTGTAAAATCGAAATGATTATGTCATTTTATCATCACTTTATCATCATTTTATTATCTTTTTTATATCTTTAAGCTAGAAACTTTTGGACTTTACTGCATACACATGTATACACTCGTATATGTGTACATGTTTGGTGAAAGTATGCAACAGCCGAGTGCAAATTGGGACACGATGTTGCGTATTTCCATTCTTACATATTTAATTTAACACACATTTCTTGGAAAGGTAGAATTGAAAAATCATTATTCCCGAATAAAATTCTAGTACTTTAGAATAAAATTCTGTGGTATCTCAGACTAGAATCAAAAATTGCAAAAATGCATCTGGCTTTTGTGATTTAAGGAAATAAATCCAATGTTGCGCAACGTGCAGCAAGCATAAGATACTTCGTACGAAATAAAGAGTCTCGGCTCATACAACTGAACTAGTAGAAATTTCATGTATTTTTTGAGCAGTTACTGGATATTTGTATTAACTTCTGTTTGATAACTGAGAAGTAAAACTACTTGGGATCCCAATCAAAATGTAATGCTTTTCCTGCAGTTATTGTGTACAAAATATTCGCAAAATCTGAACCCATTTACTAAAGGAAAACAGAACAATAAATAGACAAGACACTATTCATTTGATTCATATTAGACAATATATATGTATAATTAGACAAACGTCTACGCAAATTGCACGTATTTTTACCTGGAAAATTCCTTCAGTCACTGAATAAAACTCTACCAAATTCTTGTCTATCTCTTATGCAGTATTATTATAACTAATGAGAATGTATTAATACCAGACAATAATCAGAAGGGTGTTTAGGAAAACTGCATACCAACTTCAAGGTTTGATCTGACACTATCCGGGGTACCCGATTATTCGAGTAACGGATAATGCGGATCTGCGTATCTTTGAGATTCACGAACAGTTGACGCGTCGGATCCGGATCCGAATCTCAGCAATCTAGATATCTCTCGAATATTTGACAATGAATAAATCGATACGAACTCCCGGTAAACATCTCAGGTTAAGGTCGTGACACAGCGGATCAAAAATATTGATTTATTCGTTGTCAAATGTTCGAAAGGGATTTTGGTTGTTATGACTCCGGTCGACTCCGCCCCGAACTGAGATCCGGGTCCGACACGTCAAATGTTTGTGAATTTCAAAAAATCCGCAGATCCGCGGATAACCGAAATAATGCGGATTTGAAATTTCGGATCGGATCCAATCTCGCATACCCGGATAGTCACATAGCTGGATACTTAGTAGCTCTAAGTATCTAGTGTAAACATTTCTACGAAAGCGGGGCAATACGAAAATTGGGGATAAGGTCTTTCCATTGTTGGGATCGAATTTTGCGTCCAAGTTAACAATAGCTAAAGGGTCAAAAGGTGATTTAGATGTGAAAGACATCTGAAAATAGACTGCGTGACAAAACCCACAAAAAATCTTGTCCTTCTTCGTCACTTTCGCAAACAATATAAAACTACATTTACTTGTTAAAGCGAGAAAACAGCGGAAAGTCCCATTACATCCCCGAATGTGTGTGTTTCTGAAGAAGTTTCGTGCTATAGCGACGCAAAAACTAGAGAACACGACACGCGTATTAACCCGGCTTAAGTTGCTGTCCGGAAACTCGACAGTATTTCGAGGGTGGTGAGTTTCTTTCGGGTCGATGCCAGTCAAAAATGAATAGTTATTCGCACACAATCCGCAAAGATGGCTCGCGCGCTGAGGACGGACGCATGGTATGTGCATAACCCCGTTTCTCAGCAGCGTAATACATGCATCACGATAGCATCGTCATCGGCATAACAAATAAACGGCGCATTAACGCACACAGTCCGTGGCCTGCTTACCATTTATTCCTACTTGTGGCATGAAACACAGAAAGGCAAATATGTAGGCACGTCTGCACGGCAATAAATGGATCATACAAGAGTTTAAAGACAATGGACCGATATATCGTTTCATCGGCGAAAGGTTCAGTAGATGAAGCGAGCCACACGCGAAAGTAGCCGCGATAACGATAATAGCGAACGTCGCCTTTCGTCTATTCTGTGCCGATGATTACAATGACAGAGCTCTTTGTGCCGACTTGCTTTGTCGGCAATTCCCTATTACGAGGGAGCCGCGCCGATTGCAGAACGAGAGATTCAAGTTACTCCGCCTCTCCGATTCGGAGGTCCGTGCTTTGCGCTCATGAACGACTTGTCCATTGTCGTGTGAATCGAACGCCATTATACATAATCAAGTAAAACGCTTCGCACATCGGCGCGTTGGCCTCTTCCCGCATCTCGTCGTGGCGCGTTATCGTCGAAGGAGACGCGACGATTCGACGAGGGGCTGAGAAAGCGCGTCGTTGCTACGAAAATGCTCGTTCATATTGAACGTGAGGAAGAAGAAACGAAAAAGGAAAGGCGGAGCGAAATAAATTCTCTCTCACGCGCGCGCGCATGGAAATTTCAGGTCGGAGGACGGAGAGAAGCGACGGGGAAAGGTATCATTGATTTTCGCTTGACATTCGTGTCGCGCGCGAGCTTTTTCAGGTACGATCGCGCCGATGTGCGAAGCGCGAACGGGCATGATCGATAATACCACGAGCAACTACAGCAACAGCACCAGCACAGGCAACAGTTGTCCTTCTTCGAACGGCCCATGAATCCGGCCGTCTGGCGTTGCTGTTGCTGCGACTGCTGCTGCGACGCGGGCGCCAGTTGCTGTTGCTGCTGCGATTGCTGCTGCTGAGACGATTGTTGCGGATTACTGTGCTGCATCGTGGACCCCGAGGCCTGGCTTTGGTTCTGTGCACGGAGGCGGCAACCACCAGCTACACCTTCGCCGCCAGTCCCGTGACTAACACCGATCCCCATTGCAGTTGCACCGAGTCCACTCGACATCTGCAAGCGACATTCGCCCTCTGAATGCGCGCACCACCGTGCAAGAGACTTTATCCCAATGCCCGAGACTAAAATCTACTAAATCAGCGGAACCGCCGGAACACAATGGACCACTCGCCGGCTTCGCGATCTGTTTACGCCAAGTGGCCGACGTCTCAGCTTTTCACCAAGCATCGGAGCTTTTTAGTTAGCCGTTTATAACCGCGCCAAGTTTCTTAACGCAACTTGCTCGTATTACGCGATATCAGTGTTTATAAATAAGACTGAATTATGCCAGATAATTATAGCGATATAATCGTATAACAGACGGGAGGAGAGACTGAGAGTGAGAGTAATCGGAAATGTTATTCTTTTTATATCTACTCGTTGGTATATTTAATTCACCGTCGAGTCGTGACAGAGAGAAAGACACACACGCACACAGAGAGAGAGAGAGAGAGAGAGAGAGAACGTTCGCGCACGTTATACACCGATGGTGACTATAAAAATCGTGAAAAGGCAATCTCCGATGACGAGGAGCGTCGCCTGGAGAGAAATGCGAATGTCATACCGACGAAAAATACGCGCACACACGTACTCACACCGAGAGTCTTCGTTTATTGGTACGTCCAGCGCGACAATAAAAAAACAGAAAAATCAATCATTAAATTCCGATTTAAGCAGAGTCCATATAAATCCCGGGATAAACACGACAATCAACTCGCGTGCGGCAATGCGATAAAGTCGTTAAGCTTTAATTGAAATAAGCTGACCGTCCCGCTGCATCCGCGACAAAATTAAAAAGGGAGAAATCGATAGTTTTACCGTGATACGGAGGACGAGAGGAGGAACGTCATTCTTTCCTTTCTCTCGCTCGCCCTCTCTCTCTCTTTCTCTTTCTCTCTTTCTCTCTCGCGGGCAGCAAGTCGACTACGAAAGAGGAGAGGATCGGTTTTGCTCCCGCGAGTCGTCCATACGTAGCGCGACATACGACGGGCAATCAGAATTTGTTATTATGTCGAGTTCATTAATTAAACGTTCGGATTATACTTTACCGCGCGAGCGGGCCGCGAACATGGTATCGTATGAGCCTTCAACGAGCAGCCAATTAATTCGAATACGATTGTCGTACGCTCAAGTGCACCTATCGATTGGCCCGTATTTTCAGCGCGGCTCGGCGAGATATCGAAGTGAGAGATGTAGCCGGAGATTTATTATTCTTCCGTTCGCCGTTTCGCGCTGGAGGTCTCCGGTATTTAAAATTCATGATCGCCAGACGCGGCTGAAAGTTGACCGATATTGGATTCTTGGAGAAAGTATATAAGGAGAGGATTAAACCCTTAATGCCATATTCAGGAACGATCTCAATTCGAAATTGGTACGTGCCCGGTCGTTTTTCAGCGCATTATCATGTCTCGTTTGCACCCGTGGCGCGTAACGTTCTCGTTTCTCGAGCGCGAATCAATAATCTAATCCGTTCTCGTCGTCGGCTTCGTGTATTTCTCGTTTTTTCCCTTCTTTCTCTTGTTATCTATTAATTTATGCAACGTTGTACCCGACGTATCGACAAATACAATAGCGAGCGGACCTCCGTGTTGCGATAATGTATTCCGCCCGTTGAAATCAACGTTCGGGAAGTATCACCGACGCGACGACGCCGTCAGAGATCGGCTTTAATGAGTTCCGTACCGTTCGGGTTCGNCCCCCCCCCCCCTGCTTCTTTTCGATTATTCGATTCGCATGAATTAGAGCGCGGCGAGAGATGCTCGTGAGCGAAACCCGCGCGCGCGCGCTCGAGATTCAATTTTCGCAGCCGAATTCGAGAAAATCGTTTCACGGCTGTCCGTTCTCTCGTCTAAAGGCGTAAAGGAGATTCGCGGAACGGGATATGCACCAGCACCAGGCAGGTAGCGGCTGTAGTGCGGCCCTTTATTTTTACGCCGCGTCGTATATCGGTGATCCGCTCTTCGCGCGATAACGACTACATCGGATAGTCGCTTATGCGGGATGTGGGCAGAAGTTGATAAACAGCGGGCACTGGCATAAAGTATACACGTGTAGTCGCGAGTAAATTCGTGCTGGCGCATACAAGTAAGCCGCGAGAGGAGACGAGAAAGAGAGAGAGAGAGAGAGAAATCGTGGGCACAGAATAATCGTGAGAGGAAATAATCAAAATCGAACTATATCGGGGATCACGATCACAACGGATATCGGGAGGTCAGTCCCGTTTAATCGCTCGTGTATAAATCAAACGCGCGGTTTGCGGGAGCGCGGGAACGATTCTGCACGATCGGGAAATAGAGGCCGGAAATCGAAGAGGCTTGCGCGCAAAAAGCTGCACGCTTAGAGCGGCTGGCTCGTAAAAACGCGCCGCGTATACACCGTTTATATACGGCGAATTCCGGCCGGCGTAACACGGTTATCTCTCTCTCTCTCTCTCTCTCTCTTCCTGCCTCTACCTCTTCGAACACGCGGCACTGCCGATTACGACAATGTGTAATGACGCGAATTTCAATAATCTCCGGACGTGATCCGTTTTGGAAGACATCGTGGAAACAAACTTCGATAGAGAGGAACACCAAGAAATTTAGAAAGCACACTTCGAGACGAATGGTTGATCGTGGGCCATGAATTTCGCGTAAGATTTGTGGTGTATTATCCAGCCAAAAGGAGCGCGAGACAATGATTATTTTACAAGCCGGGGATACGTGTCCGCGCAAACCGCGAGATTATTCAGCGCGTGTGGAAGTAATTTCGCGGGATTATTCCGCGTCACTTTGGTTACGCCCGTCGCGAATGTGATAATTGGCGAATTGTGATTGTAAAGTTGACGAATAAAATGCTTGACAAATTAATATTATATCGTTAATTAGTTATCAGTGGCTCTAAGCTCGTTCCTTTCGCGATAATCGCGCAGGACGGTCCATGCATGCCTTGACTTTTATCATGCAGTTATGCCCATCGATTTCGTGTCCCTCGCAGATATACTGCCCAATGCGTTTAAAACAGACCCGAAACGACGATGTTACGCATAGCTGCGTGTCAACATGTCAATGGCCCAATGGTGTGTTAGCTTCACGCAGCACGCAATCGCGGAGCACGTGCAGCTGCATTCTCCGTCCCTCTTCACCTCCCTTCGGAAGCAAAGCTTAGCCCGATATCGCTGTAAATTCACTTCGATCGCGGTGCGAGAGCGTGTACTCGCCTATCCGTATAAGTGAATTTGTTGTATCGTCCGCGTGAATATTATGTGAGTGGTAATCTATAAATATATATAGGGTGTCTCAATACACCCGCAAGCGAAATGCACAGGGAGATTTTGGGTACCAAAAGAAGTAACTTTTTCCTTTACTAAAATTGCGTTCGAACAATAGAATCCGAGAAATAAGCGATAGAAGAAATGGTGTTTTTGCGCGAGTTAAGTTTCGGGCGAACAAATGAGCAGCGAAATTATCTTCTTCGGTCAGTTTCAAGTAGACTTGAACGGAATTTGAATCTAAGACTTAGCTTCAGAGATGTGTTAAGGTTGAAAATTGAAAAGTCGCTATAAATAACGAACTTTTCCGACACGTTTTCGCTAAGGAAAAAAGTCACTTCTTTCGGTATGAAGAATCTCTCTGTATATTCCGCATACGGGAATTTTGGGACATCCTGTATATCGAACGAAACGTTTATAATCAACGGTAACGAAGTTCTTGTTTACGTTACAATAGACACTGTATTACGTTATTTCGGAGCTAATAATTCACAACGAGCCGATCTTACAGCGAGATAATTCAAACGTGATTGAATGCGAAATCGATTTTCAATACTCGGCGCAACCTCGTTATTTATCCGCGGGTTCTCGAATTCAATGCTTTTTCCGCGAAGCATCGAAAACTGATTTGTTACGAGACATGGATCCTTCGACCCGAGATCTTTCCACGACCGTGCGAGGAAAAAATACCGCGGCATTGCATGTCAATACAATTTTCATCGGATTCTTTCGAGGAAAGAAAGAGAGAGAGAGAGAGAGAGAGAGGGATAGAGAGAAAGAGTGGTACAGTACTGATCACGCGCGCAGGTCGCATACAAGGAATACCATTACGATTCAGCATCGCCACATCGCAAAACCAAATTGGCCGCTATACGGAATACCCCGCGGGGAAAAGCAGCATGACCCCATTAGCGCTCCGCGCTGACCTCGGCGGTCCCCTCTAAGGCAAGAGAGAGAGAGAGAGAGAGAGAGAGAGGGAGGTAACGGGAGAAACGCGCGCTAAACACGAGAGTGCTCGAGAGAGTGCGAGAGTAAGTTGATTTCCTCTCCGCTCACCTCTATCATGTTCCATGCGTCCGAAAGCGAGTCCAGCTCGCTTCCCGCGTCCTCAGGATCAGCCTAATCGGCGTGTGGCCGGCGGCGCGGGGGTGCGGGTGCGGGCACGGCCGCGGGCGCACCGTGCCCGCGCGTACGAGAGTAACCGATACGTTCCTTTTAGCCCGGTCCTCCCGCGGGACCGCCTCGCCGGGCCTCGCCCGAAGGCCGCATGCTCGCAGTGCGCACCAGAGCCCTGAACTGAAGCACGGTATCCAGCGCACGTAGCCCTCTTTCACGGGCTCGCGGACGGACACATACGCGCACCACAAAGCACGATGCGGCGGCGGTGGTCCCTGGCCTTGCGACCGGGCGAGGCACTATGCCGTCGATGGCGACGTCGCGCGACGACACTGAGCGGCGGCAGCGGCAGCAGCAGCGCACCCCGAACGGAGGGTTACGTCGTCGTCGCGCATGATACTTCGTCCATTTCCCGCCTTCGTCCGCTTCCTGCCGATCGTCCGTCGTCGTTTCCGCGACCCTCCTGGCCGATACCCGCGGTATCACCACCAGCGTCCGTCGTCACCCTCTTCTTGCGGCACCCTCCACCCTCCTTGGCGACGAGGTAACCGGGCGCGCTAATCGACTGGTTGGTCGTGATAAAAGAGAGAGAGAGAGAGAAAGAGGGAGAGAGGGCAGAGGGAGAGAAAGAGAGAGAAAGAGGCGAGAGTGCGCGGATGCGAGCCTCGTCGTGGAGGCAAAACGAAACAGGAAGCGTGGAGGTCCTTGCTGCTGCCCGTTCTCAAGGATGGATGCGATCGGATGATGAATAGAGATACGCGGGGCCGTCCGGTCGTTTAACAGACTAGAGGTGTGATATCCTTGAACCTTACGACGGCGACAACGACGACGATGACAACGACGGGGATGACGACGACGAGGATCTCGCACGCGATCGACCCATTACGTCTCGGTTACAGTTTGTAGGTGCGGCCGCGTCGCGCCGCGCTGCACGCCGCGTCGTGCCACGCTCGCGATCTTCGCGGCCGATCTCACGCCGCCTCCTTCTTTCGGCTGGCGTAGGTGGCCGTACGCGTGGAACAGCGCTCGATTTCGTCCTCCGTTACGTTTGACGGAATATAAATAGATACTCGCGCGCGCCTGTTAGAGAGGCTGGTGCGCAAGGCGCTGGCGCGGCGAGCTCGGGCACCGCTGCCGCCGATGATGCTGCCGCCGTCAGGACCGCTGCCGATGCGTCTACCTCCGTTGCTGATGGTGATGATCGCGCTGACAGGCACCCGCGGTATTTCGCCGCGCGTAGCTCGCACGCACGGGAGCGAGAGGGCGGGAAAGAGAGAGAGAGAGAGAATGTGTGATGTAGCAATGAGCGAAAACGATGAGAGAAAATAAAGAGAGAACACTTAGAATGCGTGTGCGCTAGTGATTGTATAGTAGAATAGAAAGAGAAGAGACTAGAAGCGAAGAACGGGGGGAAGAGAAAAGGATGAGAGATGTGAAGAGAGATGAAGTAGAGAGCGAGATAAGTAGAAAAAGGAAAAGAGAGGCAGGGAGAGAGAGAGAGAGAGAGGACAGGGGGAGGGAGGTAGCGGGGGAAGGAGAGTGGAGCGTAAGCGAGTCGATGCGCCGGTTATTGATTGGCAGAAGTCGAGACCAGAGGGAGAGACGAAACCGCGGCGCTGTCACGCCGGCAAAGTAGACTGCTGAAGACTATCTTTGTGTTAGCTTCTCGTCGCAATTGATCGCTTGATATCTTCTCGGAAGACTTCCGGTCGAGCGTCGATCACACCTCAACGAGGAGATAAACAGAGGTAGGGAAAGAAATTCTCAGGAAGATCGGTATTTCGGAAGATGTGGCTTGTATTGATGATAACTATAGGAAGTTTTGGTCCTGCCTGCGATCACGAATGGCGGTTACCGGAGAGGAGGGCAAGCCTGCCGATTTTTGCCGAATCCTTCAGCGCGATGTTTCACCTTCCACTCTCGATCTTCGTCGCAAGAGCTAATAGGCATGTAGAAGAGACGAAGGAAGCGACGTAGAGTCCGCAGATGTGACCTTAGGAGTTTGGCCTTTCACGAAGGGTGCCTCCGGAGAGTACGAGATTCGAGGGGGAGAGAATGTACGTTCAGGGTGGGAAAATCGGTACTCGGATGCGGTCGATCTTTGCTCTCGACCACGCGATTAATCCGCAACACGTATCACTGGTTACATACACGCGTGTATCTCCTTTATCATTCTCCCCCTCTCTCTCTCTCTCTCTCCAGCCCTCTTTCTTTCTCACTGCCCGGTGCGACCGATGCGTCGTACGGAGGCGTATTTGAAGAATTATCGCGCGTACTCTTTTTCGGCCATTCGATTTCTGCGAGGAGAACTCCAACTCGCCCTCGCTCCACTTTAACAACGCGTCCCTCGGTTGTCACACCCGGGCCGACACGGGCGACGATCGAAACCTTCGAGCGAAAGCTCCGCGACCCGCGAGGAGCTGTCGTCGGCCTCTCGTCCGGAGTTCGGCCAATATGGCGGTTACACGCGCTTACACGGTGCCTTGGCCAGCACTGCCGTCTGTCTCGCGGACGGTTCCAGCGACGCCGACGCGAGGCGCCGCGATGCGAAGCAACCCGGCGCGGACGCTTCTCCGCAGACCGCCGCCACCGCCACCGCCGACGCCGACGCTGACTCCGCCAACGTCGTAGAACGCCGACGCCGACGAGCCATCGGCCGGTGTACAAGCGCCGCGGCGGAGCTCGTACTCGTGATCCTGCGTGCGAATGACCCGACGATGCTCTCTCTCTCTTTCTCTCTCTCTCTCTCTCTCGTGCGCGATCCTTCGTCGTGATCATTGACAGCGTCATCAGGACGCGGCGCGGCGCATCGTACGAACGGTCGCGCGAATGATCGCCAGACGGAGGAGCTTCCGACGAATTCCGCGGAAGACAACGCACAGCGATCAGCGTCAATGTTAGCAGCGATCTTTGCGACGCGAGCGCGTTGGTAAGGAGAAAATGATAACGATGAATCTCAGGAGTGTCGGTTCGTCATTATGAAAAACCTCCCCGCGCGCCGCTCGATCCTAAATAACGTCTCACGCGAATTTTTACGCTGAGATATCTTTCGAGCTTAACGTCAAGCTTTCGTGCTGGTCTCACCGGCAACCACACGAACAAGCGTTCTCTTAGCTGAGCCAACGTGGTACTGATGTAATCGAGGAGCGTAATCTTTCCTTTAAGCATCTTAAAAACAAGCGATATTCGCGACTTTTCCATAGTTCTACCCCTTGTTCACAATCTTGCTTTAAGACGTAAACAGCAAGCGAATTGACCAACCACGATCGATTATTTTTCCATTAAACGACAGTGGTTGGTTAATTTGATTACTGCATACGTCTTAAAGCAAGATTGTAGACAAGGGGTTGAAGTTTCGGAAGAAACCCCGTTCTTTCGCAAATTCTAGAATATTTTTCTTGTTTCTTATCTTCTTTACGGAAAAAATTAATGTGACAGGTTTTAATCGAACGGTTTCAACCGAACACGTGGATTTTTGTGAACGAATTTTTGTACCCTTGGGACAAAAAATGGGGGAAGAGATAGATCTTTTCCGATACTTTAAAACTATATCCGGGGAAACATGATTATATATGAATTTTGTGTCTTATATGCCCATACATAATTATATATAACCCCAATCGTGCACACTGGGATCATTACGGATCCTAGCTGACTTATATTTACATCGTATTTCTCTTTATATTTTCAGTAAAATAAAATATTTAAAAGTGAAAAAATATTTGCGATTATTCCTTTACATAATTATATTCTATAGACATTTTTACATAATTCTTTACATAATTCTATTTTACAGACTTCAAAGTATATTCATGATATTTTACACATTTTTATTTGCATTTTATAAACTTTAAATAAACGAGGACACAAATGACGCCAATATGCCAGATTAAGATGCCAAAAAGATGTATGCATGATTAAAGTTAATTATACATGTTCCACATCTAAAAACTGCTGTTATATGAATATTATTGAAATAAATGCTCGTGTTTATGGCTGCCAACGATACAAACATTTAATTGAATCACACAATTTTCTTCATTTTTCATTCAATAGTATTTTTATTTCGTGTACAATTGTACATGTATAATATTGTAATAATACTTTAATTGTAATGATAATATAATATTGAATAATGTTCTAATTATATGTATATGTAGTTATATTATACATAGCTGTTATATGTAATTATACATATAGACAAAATTTACATATTGTACATGATTTTAAAAGATTATACATAAACATTTTTTCTCGGGCAGACTTTTTATCATGACCGATTTATTATCACGTTAGCGATGATTTGTTGCGTCAAATAAAAATTTTGATCGTCGTCTCAGACGATCTTGGGTACTGAGAGTAGAAAATTGCAATCTCACGAACCACGATGGAGACGCTCGGGATTGAAACTACGAATAATTCCGACGGACTTTGATGAATATTTGCTTCAAGAATATGGCATGTATATGGCACAGTTAATAATAAACTGTAATAAACGGCTAATAATAAAATATACGAAGGGGGAATTCGAGAAGGGCTAATAATAAAATGTACGAAGGGGGAAATTAGACGAAAGCGAAAGTGAAACCGCGTTTGCGGAAACAACGGCGGGAAAACGCTCTCGCGAGATGAAACTGCCGGATTCGCGTTCGCGATTCCGGATATCATCCCGAAGGAGAAAAGTGTTTCGCGTGACCGAATGAACACCGACGTTTACGCGGGGACCAGGCGGGTGCCACGTCTGGATTCTTATGGAAATCTCGTTATATAATTCAGAAATACTTCGTTTTCCCCGGCAAATCTCATCTTCCCCCTTCCCCCGATTCTATCCGGCGCGTATCGCGCGTATCATTTTAGCGGCTTTTAAGTTAACTAGTTCCGCGTCTGGCGCGAGAGAGCGGAAATTTCTCTCGCGCAAAAGTGTACCATCTCCACCTTCCGTCCGCGGTCGCGGATCGATCGCGCGCGCGGCCGCGGGAATACAGACCCGTCATCCCTCCGTCAGTTTTTTCCTCCTCGCGTCCACGTAAGGAAGACGCGACGCGACGGGGCGCGAGACGACGCGCGAGCGTAAGAGAATGTCTGAACACCGGAGATCAATACGCCGTCGTCGACCCGATGCATTCACCACTCCTAAATCACGACTCGGATGCAGCGGATGCCGCGCTCGCCTCCGACGAATCTTCTCTCTCTCTCTCTCTCTCTTTCTCTCTTTTTCTCATCCATGTCTATGACGGCGATGCGGCTGGACGATAACGAAGCGACAGCGCTGGAAGTTAATTTCGGAGCCGTGTCATGGAACGTTACACATGGTAACGCGTCGGGCGAAATGTAAATGAAGCTTGCCAGCGGGTGCTGCCGATACCCCCCCGTACTCGGTAGGGAAGCCGCCGAGAATGCCGACTCGAACTCGGATTCGGCTGCAGTGAAAACCGTCGGTCCGACCATTTGCTTGCTTATCGGCCGTAGCGGCCGTCTGATGGTAGGTACAAAAGGTTTGAACGCGGTGTTTTCCCAGTTTACAACGTTTCGCTTCGATGTCTCCGTAATATTTCGTGCTCCCTAATCAGGATTGACACGATGGCAGGGAAAGTGCGTGGCATGCGTGTTAATAGCCTCGTAATTCAATAGGAAAGGAACAGCGAGCGAAAAATTGTTACGTCAACATCGAAACGATTAAGTAGCTTCCACCTGCACTCGCCACGTGAGAACAACGAGAGAATCGATCAGCGATATTGTCCTCCCTACGATTCGAGCTTAATGTTCGATCAATAGTGAACGCCGGTATGTTAGGAACGATATGTTGATAAACATATTGGTGACGGTCTGCCGCGTGTGGATCGAATTGAAAGAGCAGTGTGACGTTCCGTGAGTCGTGATTTGCCGCACGTCGGAGCGAAACGTGGAATGTACAGAAATGTGAGTGAGAGAACGAAATATTATTTTTCACGAAATTTTCACCCTGCGACCGTGTTCCACTCTCTTAAAATGTGAAAGTGTCAAAAGTTATTACCTGACCTGCGGAGAATTCGCATTCCTGTCTATTGAGAATAAAGAGGCATCGTAGGCATGACGAAAAGGTCTACTACTTCCTTGGCCTTCTCAGTCCAGCAGGCCCGAATTTCTAGACCTTTCCGTCGGGAGGCTCCCTCGAAAAGGGATCTGGAAGGTCTTCCCAGAGTTCCCCTCTTCCCCACCACCCCTCCTCCCCTCGCCGTCCGATACTCCGTAGAAGTTGGCGCTCGGCTACGTCGTGAACACACATAGAGAGAGGCATGTAGGGAGGTTCCAGGGTTGACGAAGATGTGTGCGTCGGTGTGTGTTCGTGTATGCACGGCAGAATGTGTTACACCTACACCACACAGGCCTATCGTCACAGGCGTTGTATGTGTAGTAGGGTGGGAGGGAGGAGGGGGAGGGGGGAGAGGGAGAACAGGCTCGACTGCTCCCCCTAATACTGCAGGATTGAATGGGCGAGGAGGGTGGTATTGGGTTCCCTCACCCCACTCCCACCACCCACACGCTCCTGCTCCCAACCCAGCACAGCCACCCACTTCTGTCCGCCTGCCACCCCGCCTGCCCACCCACTTGCCACCCGACTGCCGTCGAGGAAACAACCTGCAACCGAACCAGCATAACGTTTCCTCGAGCAACGATTTTCCCTACATCGTCTCTGCGACGTCTTCGTGATCAACGTAAAGATGTAAGTAATTTCACTTGGGTCCCCCGAGTCTTCCTTGTCCTTGGTTCGAAGCATCCCTGCAGCTCCTATTGTTGTGCTTCCTACCCCGCGTTACGTTCAGTCTATCACGGTATTCCGTCCTGTTCCGTACACGTTGTTCTCTTTCTCCCCCTCTCTCTCTCTCTCTCTCTCTCTCTGTCGCCAAATGTGCGTCACGCACGTCTCGTTAAACAGCCGTGATAAAATAGCTATTTCGCGAAATAGGGTGGAAAAGGAACGCAACGCGGACGGACCGCGTGGAGGAGAAAGAAGCAGAGGGAAAAGATGCGTAACGCCGGAGTGATGATCGGCGCGAACGAGAGCGAGAGGAGAGGCCTCAGCCGTGGCAGTATTGTGTATATCGCGAATAGGCCGCGTGAATACCTATCGAGACGCGCGGAGCATGCGGTATATGTGCGACGTTCCCGCGACGGTGTGTTGGTTCGTATTCGATGTGTGTGCACGCCGAGATAGGTGGAGAGAAGAAGACAGATAGAGAGAGAGAGGAAGAAGGGGAGAGAGATCGAGAGAGACAGAGAGATGGAGTATGTGTGTACTCCGGGAGAGCGCGTGTGCCGATGGCGCTCGGGAGCGGGCGCTCGCGATACTTCGCGATATTGGATTCGATGGCGAGCACGATGACGATGTCGCGGGTGCGCGTGGTCGATAGATAGACCGGCTGTGTCACCGTGATCTTCACTGTGGCCCTTTTCGCGAAGTGTGCACGTGTACGCAATGACGAGACGACGGAGACGGCGACGGCGATGGCGATGGCGATGACGTTGGCATAACGGTGATGGTTTCACTCGTTCTCTTCCATCACGCGGAGCAAGGCGGCTAAAAGGAGGGATGAGGAGACGAAATGAGGAGAGAAGATCTTTCGTCTGGACGCACGACGTGCACACGTGCGCGCAATCACGTCTTACGTATACGTATATACGGTTATACGTACGTACACACGTGGACGCCGAGATCTGCTTGGCGTCCTTGGTTAGCCGACAATAATTTCCGGATGAATTTAAATGGCGTACTGGGCGAGCTCTCTCTCTCTCTCTCTATCTCCCCCCCCCTCTCCTTCTACCTATATCTCTATCTCTTTCTTATTCACTTTCCCGATCACTCTCACTCTCATTCTCTCCCTTTCTCCCTCCCCCTTCTCTCCATTCTCTCTTCTTTACTGTCTTCCTTTCTCTTGTTAGAATTGTCTCTGCCTTTATTTTAACTGACCATGTGTTCGCCTTCGTTGTCTATCTTTCTCGTCGCTACGAGATCTTTCTTTCCGCGCTAATAGAGGTTCTCAACCGGAAAGGTAGAAAACGAAGTTATAACGTTACGACTCTAAAGCACCCCGTACGCTCCACCATCTGTCGTTTGTATGAAACGTGCCCTCGATCGGTGCGTCGGAGGGGAATATTGATTTATCCTTCACGGTAACCCCTTCCACGTACTGCACGTTTTTGCTTTCCCCTCCGTATGTACATGCACACCCATTCTGGCACGTATAGCCGTGTATGCACGCACACATGCTGCGGTGTTACCAGCAGGGTTGCTCGCCTCCCCCACTCTTTAACTCGAGCGGCAATCGTGGCGATCAATACATACTCGCTCCTTCCTCATTCCGGATGCTGTCGCCACCCCTGTTCGCGGCGGCAAATTCTAGCATGTAATGCCCGATCAAAATCAATCAGCACATGAAAGCGAGAAAGTCCGCTTCAAAGCAAAAATTAATCATCGATAGGTATGCCGATAAATAGATATTTATCGCGAATCCGAAAGGCAGAACAATCAAAGGATTCGTAAAAGCCGTTTTATAGAGAACGAGATTTAAATGATAAAGAATGTCAGAATAAAGAAGAAATATGTTACAAATTTATGCTGCAATTCTAAACAGGGTCGTAAGACTCGTAACCTGTCTCGTAAGAATTTATAAGTAGGTGTCTACAATTCTATGAGTACCATATGTCGTACGATCACTCGCACGTACATCTGTGTGCATGCATCTACGATTTCTCGTAAATCTTACGACTAGCTGGAAGCTATCAATAAAGTTCGGGTTTACGAATTTCACCAACATTTTCAATGTTATTATTATATAATACATAATAAATCGAAACACAAGTATATTGTATATTGTATATTTGATTGAAGAAGAATACAACAGATACTATAGAAAACATATATAATAGCTTTAATATTACTATCCATCACCTACTTTTTAGAAACTACATGTGTGTATATGTTGTATTTCAAATGAGATATTGTTTAACCTTACAGCTTATCCTTTCTTTAACTCGCAACTCTCAAATGACAGCTTATTAGATTAAAATCCATTTGAAGCTATAAAACCGTTAGAGCGCTTAAAGATAGATTTTTATTGGTCTATAAGATGCATTGAAGTATTTTACAGCATCTAGTAGACTCTATCCTTAGTTATTAATCGTAACTATAGACATGTAACGATGAGCGATATAGATACTAGTATAGAATTGCGGTTTACGTAAAACAGTAACTCAAATTCTTACGATTGCTTTATAGTCTACGATTTGACGATTTTATGATTTATTCATATATTTGCTTAGAATTGCAGCATTAGAGAGAATAAGCACAAATACAAAAAGTGCGAAAAAAATGTAGAATCTATATAACTTCTTTCAGTATATATAGAAAAATAGCAAAAATAACGTTATAGTTTTTTGAAGTATAAGACGGTTTGGAGTTTGCACTGATCATTTTGATATTTAAAAACGCTAACAATGTTAACTAGCTGAAATATACGTTCGTTATCTATTGGAGAAGAAGAACTTTGATTGTAACATGAAATAATAAATAAAATGACTAAAAAAGTAAAGAAAGACTACATATATGTACAAGTATGTTCTATCAAACGATCCATCTAACAAACGAACGAATTTTTTATAAAATAGCAGTCTTGCAACGACACCTTTACTTTATATTTTGTCTATTTCGAGTCTAATTTCACAGAGCTTCGATAAAGTTGTTAACGCCTCTTTACGAAGGTTTGTCCTTATTAGCGTATCATATTCTTTCCGCACATTTATTCCCTGTTAATCATCCCCAGAAATATGAACATAATTATCCTTTATTTGATGGCACGTGACTGCATGCGGGATTGAGTATTACTAACATAATACAACTTCTTTTTATCGCACTTATCATAAGATTGACGTGTGATAGTATATAGCGCTTACACCTGCGTTTATAATTGCCATATGTTGCAATTTTATCATACGGAACACATAGATTTCGTCGTTACGGGTTAAGAAAAGTATAAAAGAGCATATATAATATGAATGCATTATTTTTCTTGATCTTAAATTGTACAGTAAAGAAATGCTGGAATTAAATAAACGTAACTTGTTTTTCAGCCTCTTTAATCAAGTAATATTTTCATCAATTTAAATATATTTTGATATCTTGTGTAAAAAATTTGTTTTAACGAAGTGATCATTTGTAAATGAATTACTGAATATAAGTAAATTGTTCTAAATTCAAAAGAATATTTATTAGAATTAGATAATAATTCTTTTTTATTTGAGAAACTTAAATTGAAACTGTTTTAAATTTCGATGTTTTGTATTAAATATTTCCTAAAATTAAAATCTTAATATTCTGATTGTTATGAATTTAATACTTGTCGGATTTGTTTGAACATAAAGAACGTAAGTTTATTTAATCAAAAAAATATATAATTAAAACAAAATAAATGTGAATATTTTATTTGAATATATGATATCTTTGAAGTTGCATCTACAATATATTTAGTTTTCTAATTAGAATGAGAAAATATATATTTACATGAAGTAAATAAGTAACTAAAGAAAACAAGAAAAATGTTTTTCGTTTAAAAACAGCAAAGAATATTTTAACCAACGTGATACGAAGCTTCCGCAATCGCTGTTACGTGATATCTGTTTCCACAATAATATTTATTCCCCAACAAGGACATAGCTAAGCATATAGAATGATTAGAGAATAAACATCAGGATCAATTTATTTTTTGGATATAAGATTTCCGAGGACGTTTTGAAAGTAGCTCCTGTCTTTTAGAAAGTTTCGAGAAAGATTCTGTGATACTGGTTTTTCTGTTTTAAGATTATATGTTGACCAAAATTAATATTCTATTATACAGTGAAGAATGAATTTTAATTCAAACGAAGAATCTGCATTTTTAACTTAAAAAAAGCTTTGTGCTTTAGTTTAAATATTACATTTTTAATCTAAAATATTATTCGCTCAATTAAAGTAAATATTTTTGTTTCATAAGAGCAACAAAAATTTTTTATTTTTGTTACGTTAATTTTACGGCTATTTAATTGTTCAGATTAAAGAAAAGCGTTCGGGCATTTTTACAAATGTGCTGAATTGATCAGTATTATTTTGCGCGTATATTTTTTTATTTCCACGTATACCGTTACGTAAATTGGTATGATTTTTTTCGCTTCTAACGTCATCGAAGAAGGATAGTCATAGCGAGTATCCAGAAGTCTTAAAACACATTAAATGAACGACGAAATCGTAAGAATAGAGCATATGTCGAACTAATGGTATGTATAAAAACCTTTTCCTACAATATAGAAAAACTCTCCTTTTTCAGTGGGAACGTTAGCAACCAGCAAGTAGACGGATTTCCGCGATAAAGAGAAAAGGTTTTCGTTCGGAAGATAACTGGTTGTAGCCTTGAAAATGGAGGGTGGGATTAGCAGGCTGGATTGCTACGAGGATATGTTTAAGGAAATTACGAGAAAACTTTATGGCGAGGATCCCGATCATAGAAGTAGGTGGAAGTCTTTTGTATACCAAAGTTTTCAGTTTCTTTTTATAATTTGTGTCACTTTCTTTCCACGTCATAAAAACACCGACATTCTTTCACATATCTCGTTTCTGAGAAAAATAAGTCTAACAGACTAACTAGCAGCGAAATTGCTTCACAAATAACAATATATCCCTTTTCCCACCATAGAAAAGAGGCCTTGAGAGGAGGGTTCTTCGTAATGTCTTTTATCTCTAAAGTCATAATTTTAAGAATGAAAGCGATTTTTCTCCGACGAGATAGTGTTTCGTTGCAGTAAAAACACAATTGTGTCTCGTATATACACATATTTCGACGTAATTCATTATTTAAACAAAGTGATTAATATGATTCATAATGAATGGCTGTATTGACTCATCGTAAAGAAAATCAAAGGTATTCAACGAAACAATTGATTAACTCATCGTTTAATGTTAACTATGTTCGGCGACGAAATTCAACGACGAAAATCAACAAAATTCTGTGTTAGTTAATTCAGATGTTAATTCGGCTAAAGTTTCGAGGTTGAATTTATTTTCGTTTCTACTGATAATTACATTTGTTTTTAACGAATGCTTCACTTTATAAATAAGCACAATACTTTTGTCACCGTCAAATGTAACTTATTGCAATTTTGTTTTGTCGGTATAGCGTCAAGTGTACAAAACGAATTCGAAACATCAGTTTCGTACAAAAATGATGAAGATACCGGGAACGGGACTGATGGCAGTGACGACGGGAATTGGACATGCGAAGATGAGCCGCTCAAAGGTACAGACGGGAGCCGAATTGCAGCTTACCATGCTAGCAAAGCAACATGGCGATGTTATGAGTGTGGTAAGTTTCAGCGGAGTTTCAGAGGAGTTATTAATTATATGTGTATGACATGTTTCCTTAATAATGTTAATCTTTTATTTTCTACTTTGATAGGTTTAGCTCCCACTGTGGTACGATTTATTTACAACTGTCTAACCTCAAATAGCTAAACTGATTGATTGACATTAACATCAGTAATTTATTCATGCTTGTTCAAAAGCGTTACTTAACTTTCTTCGGGAATCAATAATTTTTTTGATCTTATCGTCGATACAGCCAACATAACGAAGTAATTTTCCATTATTCAACGATGTTAAAATGTTTAAAATGTGCAAGATGAAAATAAGCTGATTAATAGGGTTAGATCAGTGCTCGGAATTACTTGTATTTTTGCAATTTTCGAAGATAACATCTACTTTCTTCCTGTTGTCTTCCGTGCTCATTTGTCCATGGACTCGTTCGGAATTGATTCCGATCGCTCAATTATTATATATAAAATACAAGAGGAAATCTCTAAGAGGGAATAACTAAAAGATTCCGACTGGAATCGATTCTGAATAAGTCTGTAATACGTCCGTAATACGTCCAGCCCTGTGACTGATGATTGCCGCATTCAATCTTAGGACTGTTAACTTAGCTATATGAAGTAAGTCAAAGGTATTCAACGAAACATCTTTTACCTTCTCCATCGGTACGGCCGTGTCTTTCGCCTGCTGCTAGGGAAACAGGACTAGGAAAGGTGGCTTAGGATAGAAGAATGGGCGAGTAGAAAGTAGGCTTAGCCAAATCGCTTCTCGAAAATTTCGAATACTGGTATAGGGTAGAGGAATAGGGAAGAAAACTCCTCCGCTTACGATCCTGATACATTTAATGTCGCAAGAAAATTTATAATTCGATAACTCTAGTATAATTATTTTTATTGCCGCAATAAACACTATGATGATGACAAAAGCGACCAGAAGGTGCAATAAATGTATAACTGACCTTAATTGTCTTGCTTGAAAGTGTATAACTCTATAAATATATTAACGTACAAAATTCAGTATAATAATAATAATATATATATATAAGTAGGTTTATATATGGACAAGTGCATATTGAGATGTAAAGTAGAACAGAAATGTTCGGCGCTATGTTTCAAACGTAGAGCGATGCAAGCATTGCGCTAGATTCATTTTTACAGATCTTAATTGAAGGAACAGAGGCTAAAGATCGGATTTATAATGCAGCCGCTAGAATTGGCAATGGATGGACTGATTCGAACTGACTGCGATTTTACGATTTTACGACAGCCAGCTACCGCATTGTAGACTCAAACTAAGCGTAACGTCAACTTTCTCAAGACGTATATAAATGATCTTCGTAGCACAGATGTTAACACAAGGTTGCCACTGTCACATGTGTAATATATATCCGTGTGACTAAACGAAGTCAGTGCAGTCGCATTTTTCGTTAGCGGGGATTTTTTTAATGGTAGGGTTTTCTTTAGTTCATTATCTTGCAGGTCTATCTAGGGAACAATGACACCTGGCGCGGAAGATGCGGTCCCACTGACGGATAGATAAATACGCATACAAAGAAGAGCTACGTACAACCTGTCTAATAAGATCGTAGTCGACATAACTTTTAAACGATTTCTTATAAAAAAATGAAAAAAATACATATGCACTCGCTCAATACTATGTCGCTTTTATATTAACCCATTAGCTGCCACGATCCCCATTTGGGGATCAAAACAAAACATAATTTGAATATAATTATACTGTTACACAACTTTTTGTGCATATATATAACTTATCCGGCCAAAAATTTCAAAAAAAAATTTGGCAGTTAACGGATTAATAGAGCATCCAATCACTACCATTGTCAATTACTGCCTGACATCTTCGAGGCATACTTTCTACTAATTTTACAACATACTCTCGAGATAAAGATCGCCATACCGAACGAATCTGTCGAGATAATTGTTTCACCGTATACACTTCATTTTTACGTAGCTTTATCTTCATTAACCCACAGACATTTTCGGTTGGATTTGCATCTAGTGACTGTGATGGTCAGTCTAACGTTTCGACGTTATTTTCTTTCTTCCATTGGGGCTCATTATTAAATATGTCGTTTTCTAGCGAAAGTCGGACAATAACTTAGACTCTCCGACGATGTGTCGTAGGGGAAGAGTCTTTCTATCTGCTCCTCCAAATGTTTCGATATAAATTTACAAACAAAAGTTTGCCCGACTACGCTTTTATTAGATAGACATGCAACGTGTCGAAGCGCTGAGCACAGATTTATCTTTCCTTTTACTTTCTCCATTGGTACGGCCGTGTCTTTCGCCTGCTGCTAGGGAAACAGGACTAGAGAAGGTGGCTTAGGATGGAAGAATGAGCGAGTAGAAAGTAGACGTAGCCAAATTGCTTCTCGAAAATTTCGAGCACTGGTATAGGGTACAGGAATAGGGAAGAAAACTCCTCCGCTTACGATCCTGATACATTTAACACGTTAACTGCCACGTCAGTCACCAATAACCGACACTGAACTTTCCGTTCGGGCCGCGTCAGTCACCGGTGACTGACAGTATAAAGTACGATATAAAACTAAAAAAATTACATAGTTTAATAAGTAATTTCAGGATCGTATAATTAATATACTTAAATATTTCTTATCAAAAAATTTTAATGGATCTGGCGGAGATTTCCTCCGAAATGCGCGTGGCAGTTAACGTGTTAATGTCGCAAGAAACGCGAAATATTTATAATTCGATAACTCTAGTATAATTATTTTTATTGCCGCAACAAACGCTGCAACTATGCTTACTTGAATTGATTTGATCTGGTTTTTCCATAGGCGACGTGATGGGAGGTGGACCACGAGAAGCTGCGGAACATTTCATGGAGCTTCACTCCTCGCGAATTCTAGCTGATGAAAGCCGGCACAGACACCACTCTCCCCGTAAAGATTATCTGCAGGCGGACTTGAAGGTGGATGACGTGGTAACATACTTGGAAAGGTTGAGGGAAAGGGCTGAGCGAGCGGCACCACCGACTCGGCGAACACAAGAGACGCAAACCCTGCCCGCGACTCTATTGCCCATGACCCCCACCTTTCTGCTGCAAGAGTTACCCTCCGCCCCACAGCAGCCTCAGCATCTACATCAAGTAAGTAGAAAGTACTCGTAGCTCTTCAGTTCGGACGGTGACTCGGACGCATAGAGATCCTAATTATTCCAACTCAGATCCCAGATTCCTAAATTCAGTCTCACAAAGTCAATTCGTGCAGTTCAGTCGAGCTTAGCCGACAGTCACGTACATCGATAGTGATTTACCGTGATTTAGCATAACATTCGCCAATAATTTGTTATTGAATCGGCAACATCGGATAATATCATAAATGTCGCAGACCACTCCACCACCTTCAACATCGGCGCCATCGACGTCAGCGGCGGCTAAACGTTACAAATGCCAATGCTGCCCCTACGGTACTGATAGGCGCGACCTCTTTGTTCGTCACGAGAACATACATCGCGAGGAGAAACCCTTCTACTGTTACATGTGCCACAAGCCATTCAATCGTGCAGACCACGTGAAGAAACATTTCTCTCGTATGCATCGTGATGACACGTATGACGTATCTAGAATAAGGAAACCGCCGGAACAGAAGCCAATAGTACAAGACCCGGCGGAAGTCCCGGGGCCTAGTAATAATGTGAATGGCCCGCAACAGCAGCACGTTAGTTACCAATCTTTCGCCGGCAACAGAGATTATCAAATTCAACCTACACCTAGTACGAGCAACAGCGCTGCGATGTATCAAGCGCCGACCGTACAAAATGTCACCAACGCAATTCCTGCGCCCGAAACCAGTACTAATCGAAGAGGACAAAACAGCGGATGTCATAGCAAAAGCCATACTAAGAGCAGTTCGAAGAACACGTCCGAGCGAAGGTATATATCGCGGTTATCAGTCATTTCCGTGATTGCGTCATATGCGTCAGTGCATATATATGTATGTGTGTGTGTATGCATGCGTGCGAATGTATGTTGCGACCATTTTTCTTATTGGAGATAGCCCTGCCAGTCGGATCGGTCCAAATTTTCCACGCGCGGACGTTAGATTGCGCAATACTCTAAGGGTGACGTCACTGAAATCACAAAGAAGGATGCCGGGACGCGAAATTGCATTACCTTTAGTCGGACAATAACTTAAACTCTCTGATGATGTATCGTAGGGGAGGAGCCCTTCTATCTGCTCCTTCAAATGTTCTGATATAAATTTTCAAACAAAAGCTTGCCTGACTACGCTCTTATTGGATAGCTGTACATGCAACGTGTCGAAGTGCTTAGCACATTTGTCCTTTTTTTTTATCCTCTCCATTCGTACGGCCGTGCCTTTCGCTTGCTGCTAGGGAAATAAGACTAGGAAGGGTGGCTTAGAGTGGGAAAATGGGAGAGTAGAAAGTAGGCGGAGCGAGAATCGCTTCTGGAAAATTCCGAGCACTGGTATAGGATAGGGAAATAGGGAAGAAAGCTCCGGCGATACCGGCCCCACGGACGGGTATTTTTAATTGAAGCTTCTTTAATTTAAAAAACGGAGAATAGCGGGGAGAGATTTCCTCTCGCGAATTCGAAATCAAACGGGGAGGAAACCAGAGCGTTCAGCTCGCGAACGTGAGCTCTCAATATGCGAGTACTAAGACAACGAACACAAAGGAAAGTAAGCACTTGAGTTTACTGACCGACAATAGTTTATTCGGGATAAATCGTGCACGCAGCTTTATCACGTGTAACGGGAATGATAATCGTATTAACGATCAAACGGATTTTCGATAGCACTGTAACTAACGTATTCGAACGCAATGCGGAGAAAAGAAAGAAAATAATAAAGCCAGCGGCACACGATACTTGTTTTCGTGCTGGATTGCTTGCTGGATAGAAATACTGCGTTCTTATTGGTGCATTTCCAAAAATGAATCACAATACATCAGCATTTCCATCCAGCAAACTTTACAACGTTACTAACGAATTCTCTTCCGATTCTGTTAACGCAAATGTACAGAATCGCGAACCCGATGGACGGTTTCTTTCCGACGCGACACAAGTACCAGTAGAAGCGTGATTACATTCAAACGCAACGGACGCACTAATGAACGAAATATTACGTCGAGACTAACGAACGTAATCATACAAACGTAATACCAATTATTTCTACAAATTATTTATACTAATCATTTCAAACGCACGGACTCAATAATATACAAACGCGATACTAATTATTCCATATACGCAAAAGACGAATTATCTTGATAACCCGATGAACGGAACGCGATGAATGCTGTACACGAGCGCGATGACAACATGGTGGCGGCTAATAACTTTGTTAGGGTGCCCGGCAACTCGACGCTTGCGAAAAGCGGAAAACGACCGTTGCTTGCGACATAACGCGAATCCCATCGGCAGCTGTCCTGGAACCTCGCGCTCTTCACGAATTTCTGCTGGTCGCTTAAGATTAGCGCTTGATGATGTCTCACTGACAGGCTTCTTCAACGCTCCGAATTGCCAAAAACTCTCTGGCAATATTTATTCTTCAGTGTGGGTGATCAACCAGCAATCCACAGGTCCGAGTTTCGAAAACCCTGAGAGACATGAGGATGGTTCTGGGAGCCATCCTCTTCCTTTTTTCATGTTCACGGTGTCTAAGGACCTCGGTTTTATAGACTGTAACGCGGGGTAGCCCACTCGCTACGAGTGGCCATTTGCTCTTCGCCTCATGGAAACTTCCCGTCGCAGTTTACGACCGGCATCCTATATGCTTACCGCCATTTGTTCCTGACTTTTCGTCTAAGCTCTGAATCGGCGAGTTTTCTTTGGCTGCTGACGCGAACAAAAACAGACGTAGCTCGCCCGAAAGTCGTAGGTATTGGCATGCTCTCCAGCAAACCAATTCCAAGTAACACATGAAGCTTTAATACGGCTACAATAACGTTGCCGCATCTTAAATAGTAATATTTTTGTCTAACGCAAACAACAATGTCATTATGATGTTTTGACAAAGTTGTAGCAGCAAAAGTGAGATAACATTTTTAGGCTTTGAAAACGATGTCGCAGTCATTTGACTGCACAACTATTTTATTGTAATGAGGTCGATGTTATCATAATTACATTATAGCAATAGCAGTCGGAATAAAAATAAATAATCCAATAAACAGATTTTCTCACATGTAGATTAATATTTAGTGGAAGTTAAATTTTAATTTTTAAATTATGTAAAAATGTTGAGAAGAGAATTAAAAAAAAAATGTTTGATTCAATTAGGATTAAACCTCAGGCAATCCGGCTTTCGCCTCAATAAACAAATTTAGAAATTAATTTTAATTGCTGAAAATTATTATAATTTATAATGTACGTATAAATATACTAGCACGAATTCATAACTACACTGATCATAGAACTGCACACACATCCTTAAATAATAATTGTAGAGCCGTACGAATAAATGCATGGGTTCGTTCAACCATCGTTGATACATATTAAATTTAACATAAAATTGATAGCCATGTTACTTTATTTTTTACTTTCACTGTGACATATAAATTACAACTAGATTACAGTTATTTATTTTCTAATTTCAAAGAAGCAAAATGGCCGAGGCTAGTTTTGATTTTTTTTTAATAATTGTCATGCTGCTTTTACAACCATTAATATAGCTAAAATAATTGTGATTGAATTGTGGTTTTTGTTATTACTGTTACAGTGACTTCATATCAATTAATGCAGCTAAAACGGCTGCGGTTAGGTTTGGTTTTTCTTAGCTGTCACAGCGGCTGTAATATAGTTAAAATAGTTGTGGCTACATTTTGACTTTTTTATTAGCTATTACAACGCTTTTAAGTCCAGCAAAATAACATTTGCACCTAAATAGAGTTGGCAAAACGTTATATTAGCCATATTTTTGCTATCGCAGCGAATATAGCCAGACTGTGTTACTTGGGATGCATATTGCAAATATTGATAATTGAAGTATCGAAAATAATCTGGAATAATCTACAAAAAGGAACTCCGTCTTAGACGGAGGAAACGCGAGATACGCTGGCTTTTCTTCCCGGTCGGGCTCTTCGCACTTTTTTGACGGACAATCATTTTACACGTATATGCGTGTGCGTGTACATGTAGATGTATATGTGCGCGTGAGTGTATGTGTATGCTTGCGCGCGTGTTCGAATGTGTGTCCGTACACGCGAGTATGGTATATGCGTGCATACGCGGGCACACATGCGAGTGAATGTGTGAGAATATGTGCAAGTATGTGTGCATTTGCGTACGCGTGTAAATATGCGTGTAAATATGGATGTTCACGTATGTGTGAGACTGCGTGCATGTCTATGTGTTATATGTGCGGACTTACACACGTCTGTTTCTATGTCATAGTATTGTTATAATTACGATAAAAAAAGATATATCCCACAGAGCGTTCCCAACTAATCTCGCGTTCCCGCCGTGCATAGGTAGAACTGGTGAAACTGAGCAGAAAAGTCATGTGCCATTTCGCAAAATTCACAATAGTTAGCGAGGAATTAATTATTTTGCCTAAGTTGATGAATGCACTGGAAGCAGTAAGTCGAATTTTGTATTAAAAAAAATGACTCACTTCTGAAGATCTAGCAACTATGAATATCAACTGGTAGCGAGAAGCGTGATTCTTTTCGGCGCATAATTCTTTGTCACATGACGCTCGCTATTCATTGCGTTATTCTGTCTTTAGAAAGGTGATACTCATCTTTGCTGGAGAATCTTCAGAAGTAAACCATTTTTCTTTGTACAGAGTTCGATCTACCGTTCGATCTACCGTTTCCCGTGCGCTCATTAACTGAGACAAAATAATTAATTCCTCATTAACTGTTGTGAATTTTGTAAAATGATACGACTTTTCTGTTTACTTTCACCCGTTCTATCAGGGGAACCGAGATTAGTTTGGGATACCTTGTATGTAGCCATAGATATTTTAACCGTATTGATGACTCCGACAGCTAATAAAAAAATCAAAATGCAGCCACAGCTATTTTAGCCGTATTAATAGTACATTAATCGCTGTGACAACTATAAGAAAAACAAAAACTAGTCATAGCTGTTTTAGCTGCATTAATTGGTATAAAGTCGCTGTAACAATATCAATATAACTAAACAACTATAGAAAAAGTCAAGACTAGATTCGGTCATTTTGTTTTTTTGGGGTTAGAAAGTGAATAACTGTAATCTATATACACCAGAATATAGTTGTAATATTGTAATGTTGTAGGTTTGCTTGTAATTACTGTTCGTGGACGGGGGCAGATAATTGGTGTTTGAAAAGACATCACAACACACATATTAAACCTTATCAATGCACCATGTGTGAATATCGAGCAGCTCGCTCGGAGAGGCTCGCAACACACATGACGCGAGTGCATAGTAAATATCAATGCACTAAGTGCGGCACTGTATGTGAAAATGAAGGAGAGCTGGTCCTACACCAACATCAGTCACATAAGATGAACAATGCATCGACTGCATCGACCTCACGAGCTTCTATACCTACGACGAGTCGGGTTACAATGCAACCTACAATGCAGTAAGTTGACACCTTCTATATTAGATCTTATTATATGATATTTATTCATTTATTCACTTATAGAGTATAAAGTGTTTTTTTTTACAAACAACGAACATAAAAAGTATTGAGGATAAATGAAGGAAAAGTACGATCATTTAAACATATTCGTATTATGAGAAAATGTGTGTGTGTGTGTGTGTGTGTGTGTGTGTGTGTGTGTGTGTGTGTGTGTGTGTGTGCGCGCGCGCGCGCGCGCGTGTGTGCGTGTTTGTGTATGTGTATGTGGAAGGAAAAAAGATTAGTGTGGTAGAACGTTTAGCCATGAAGTTACGTTATTCCCCAAAAACTAAATCCTTGAAGATACAGATTAACTTATTAGTTGTTATATTTTCAAATTATTTAGACATGAAATTATATTCACTTATCGGTTTATAATTAGACACTTTTGATTTATAACTTCTCTTGAATATGTGTTATAGAACATATTTTCCAGAATTAAGGAAAAATTCCACTTATTTCACATTCTATTTATATGCTTCGCAATGGGAATAATATTACGCATAGATCGAAATGTTTAATTGCTTTTTGCTGATTTGCCGAATTACACGATGCAAAAGAGCAATGCATAACGAGCAACTTTGTAGTTCTTCTTTATTCGATCCTGATTTAGAGGTTTCATTAATAAGTTTTTATCAATGGTACGTAATTTCGTTATTTGTGTTCGTGCTATGCAGCAATAAATTCGGGAAATCAAAGTATCACTTCCAGTGACGGTTAATTATTTACACGATGGTGCGAAATCAAATCTGTCTTGTAAAATTTGTTCATGGGAGCAAGCGGTAATTTGGATAAGTTATAACATGACATAATTATTCGAGCAGTAGGAAGAAAAAGTCGAAAGAAAAATTAATGTTCCGCTCATTATATTATCTCATATATACATATATACATATATTACATTCTTCGAAAAATTCATACTAAAATAATACACAGTATTAGATATACCGAGATAATAATAGTTTGTCCTCTTACTGATATTCTCTTAGTAACATTCGTAGAACTTTTAAATTTCGGAGATTCTAAAAAAAAAAATCTCTTTGATGAGAAGCATAATCTTTTCGCAAGAGATCGATTTTTATTTATATCCGCTCACTTAATACACTAATTAGTTTCGCTCATTGATTTTAATGAGCAGTTAATGCAAAAATCAATCATCGAATTTATAGCCCATCTGGAGGAGGCCGTGCGCCACCAGGGCCTCCTGTTTTCCCAGCTCCGGCTCAACCTATTATTCCACAAACAACAGCAACTATTATGCCGCCCACTACTACCATTTTGGGGTAAGCTTCATGGCATTTACTGCTACTGCACGTGATGCTACCTTTTGTTATTTTATTAAATTACCTTTCGCATTTTGTTACTTGATTATTTTTTCATTTGTTTTTCTCAATTAGCTGCGTGCAGAATACTCCATTAATGCGGCATTCCCATGTCCCATTCCGTAGGCATAGTGACATCTAAAATTCTTAATTAGGCGCATCATTTATAAGTAGTACAATTAATTGGCAAAACATTGGTTCAATATTGGCATTTGTTGGGGATACATTGAATGAATGTTGCCCAATATAAAATCAGCCAGACAATCAAACCTGTAAAAACAGATTTTACGTTTTACGATTTTAGTATCTATAAATTTTTTCGATAGCTTGCTAGCAGAAATATAACAGGATTTGTTAGCAGAGCATGATAGATTAGCAATAGATTAATCTATTATTAAGTTCTGCTAGTAAATCTTATTATATTTCTGCTAATAAGCTATCGACAAAATTTAAAGCAGATACTGTGTAAAATATGCTTCTGCAAGTTTGGCTATCTGGCTGACTTGTGGGGCTGAATGTTGGGCAACATTCATTCAATATAGACCCAATGAATGCCAGCATAACCAACATTAGACCAACGTATCGCCAATGAATTATGCTACTTGGATATTCATGCATCATGACTGTTGATTATTCTGTAAATGGCAGCAATAATCCTCAATCGTAATATATATATAAATATATATATATATATATTCAGAAATGATACTCCTAATTGGACGATATTACTATGCCCAAGGAATGGGACAGCATTAATGAAATCTTCTGTGTGTCCAATGCAGCGCGATAATAAGTCGCTAGCTTTTCTGAATTTTACGTTTTGTCCACTCCGATGAATATTAGCGCGCATAACGAAGGGTTACGAGTTTTTGCATTAATTGCTGATTAAAATCTGTCATATGAGCGGCGGTGTGATGCCACTAGGTGGTCACGTTTCCTCGATATGAGATCGGCGTTACGATCGTAACCCGTCGATGATGCGTCCGACGACACGTCATTTCGCGCGTCACTATCCACTCCTCCTCCTCCTGCGTTTTATGTTACGTTCTCGTGTCATTTTTTGATTATTTTTTTCGTTACAAAGCTTATACCTCCCGATCGGTGGTGCCGATCGTGTTGTCGCCATGTGCACGCTTTGTTTTTGCTTTCGGTGTAGTAGACCGCGCACACGTGTGTGCGCGCTGTGGTTGCTGGATGTGTATCCCGATCTAGTTACACACCCTTCCCCTAACGTCGCGTGCCGCGACGGACGCTCATACGTTGGTAGAAAAATGACGCGAACGTAACTTATGGAACAGTGCCGCGGTGGTTGCAGCCACGAGATGGTAAAGTCGCCTGCAACTGCAACGACTATGGCATACCCCACGGAGGAGGAGAAGCGGTCGTACCGTCGCGCCGTCAACGATGACGACAACGTCAACGGTGACGACGACGTCAACCACGACGACGTCGACCACGCCGACGACGACGACAACGACGACGACGACAATGACGGCGTCGTTCGGAGCAATGGTAACCGCGAGGAACGCAATCGTGACTTCGGCGCGTGTCGCGTATGCAGTTTCAAGGGCGATAGGGACTTTAAATCATGTAGCGATCACAGTATTAGATGTATTAAGGAGGACGTTACTGATGTGTCTAACAGGCCGCTTGCTCCTATATGTGGCATTGCGTCCCTTCAATGCCCCATAACCATATACTACGATAAAACACAAGACCCAGAATTATTTCGTACCATCAACTTATTACTAAAAAAACGGATACGGAAGCTGAAGATGAGATCAACCATCACCGTCCCCTCGGTTTCTAGAAGCATCATTCAACCCCAGACGCAGGATATACAAGTGAGAAAACGTCGGAGGAAGCAGTTGTATCCACAAAAGTTAGATGCACATATGCTGGAATCCGAAGAAGATGTCGGTGAGATGTGGTCGAACTCTATAAATCAGGTAAAAATTAAAATTAACAATGATAAAGCGCCATTAAGATTATTCAGGTGCATTCTGTGCCCGAGGCATACGGCCGCGCGAGGTATAATCGACGAGGGACATAGACCATATCACACTCGGGCTTCGTTGTTATTACACAAACTCTGGCGTCACAGACGACGAGTTAAGTCTGTTCAGGGTCATATGTCCATCGACAATGTATCGTCACTTACCTCCTCGATCACACTAAAAGCTATTTTCGTCGCTAGGCCGAATTACAATTATTACAGATAACATTGTCCGAGCGCATGTATTGTAATTCTACGAGTCCAATTCGTCGACCATAGCTTTTACACGAGGCTCTCCTCCAACTTATAAACATTCTTCCGATACCTTCGTATTCGCAGGTGAATATATTGTTTGTCTGTCTACATAAGCGACTCATTCGTTGCGCAACAACTATTTATACCCGTGAATCCGAAGGTGAATTTCGTATTCGTACAAGATGTTTATATTTGCGGTAGAGGAGATTATCAAATGTATCAATCCGTTTTTTCTTGTGTAACACGTTCGTTAGCTATACGTATTAACATCATCTCTCACGAGAAATCAGCGTCACACATAACAATGATCATTTTTCTCTCACTTTTTAAATAGAAGAAAACTGAGTTTGTTTTACATATTTATGTAAAAATTATACAAAGTGAAATGCAGAATTCCCCGAATGAACCGTGGTAGCGAACGTGTTATGACAAGTTAGTACGTAACTTAGTACCAAGTACAAATACCAATTATATTTATTATTTTGATCTTTTACTGTATTTTTTTAACATGATGAACCTCGTATCTCTATAATTAAAATCGAATGTTGTAAGATTTATGCGATGCAATTTGATACTGGCAGCATAAGAAACGAGAAGATTGTTCTTAGCGAAATTGGACAAAGAATGGGACGGCACGTATGGTTGCACGGATGATTTGGTAATTATTCGTTTCAACGAACATTCGATAACCTTGACCTTAATATGTGTCGAAAATATTTTCCTGAGTAACTTCCAGGAGGTTCAGTCGATGGTTTTCGTTTATTAAAAAATTAATTCCAATTAAAATTTGAAAGTAATAACGATATTTACTAAATCAAAACATGGTATAAATATATATGACCTTTTCGAATAAATATTTATAAATATATTCAGCGTAAATCGTTGTTCGACAACTATTTCTACCCGTTAATCCGAAGGTGAATTTCGTATTCATACAAGATGTTTATATCGCGCAGCGTAAATATTGCCTTATTAAATTGAAGAGTATATCTTATAATAAAATAACAAATCTTGTGGAATGAGATTAGCAAGGACTTCTATGCAAGGCTTATGCTTAAGCGACTTACCACTGAGATATATTGCCTAGTATATTTTATTATATATTTAAACTTTGACCTTGTGATTTAATAATAATTTATCAGAAATAAAGATCGACGGCTGAAACTATCTGGAGGTTATTCAAAAGGATACTCCCGATAACATACGTCAAGATTAACGTCATCGGAACTGTGTCCGTTAAAATGAATAATTATTGATAGTTCATGCAAGGAAAATAACAATAAAGATTAGAAAATTCCCGTGAAATATTTGTAAAATATTTCGCTTGGGTAGCTACTGGCTTCAGATTGTCATGTTCTTCGCATGAACTCTATCGTAATCAGGATAAGCGGCTAAATTTGCTCGAGATGAAAGTCACACGAGATGAGCATTATTATTTAGTATCTTACTTTACGTTATAATTTAGAGGAATATTTCTTAACATACATTAATAAGAGACAACAAATTTACAGTTTATTAGAAAGATATACAAGTGTTCGTAATTAATCATTCTTCTCAGATTGAATTGTGCAAACCAAGAACAACAGCTGCTTCCATTCTGGTTACGATAAAGTTCAGTAAACGTACGATTCGATCAATTTACCTTAAATGGGGAGAATTTGCCGACGTTATATGCAGTTATTCCAAATGCCGAAGATACTAGTTAAAAATTTTGCAAGTTTACCGAAATATTGGACCAGTTAAAAAATTTGGTTTATTTATTTGAACACTTTATCATTTATTTCATCATCATCATCATCATCATCATTTAATAATTTTTTCACAAGAAATTTATTTTATCTTATGTCACTTTTTTCACAAGATATTTTTATTTTATTTCATTTGAATTATTCATATATATAAATCGACATAATATTTTTAACATATGAAGTTATATCGTTCTAACAATCTTTTAACAATTTTCCATAAAAGATGCATGCTATGTTCTAGAATGATGTAACTTCATGTTCTAGATTATATATATTATGTCGATTTGTATACATCTGATTTTAATACGGTTTGGATGCTTTTGATGCAGCGCAAAATACAGCCGATGTGTTTCACACTTCATGTTTCAATAAGAATTAGGTTGTCTCAATGGACTATCGGTTCCGAACTACATCGAACAAAAAGTATTCAAATCATTTTAAAACCAGGTGTATATGTATGTAATACAGGCAACAAGACTAAATATAATGTCTATATATTATATACCACTATTGAAATAACATCCACATAATAATTTATCAGGATTGATAAATAATTGATTTTCCTTGAACTGACAAACACAAATTTGATTAAAAAACCGAACCGAAGTCTCATAATTTAAAGTAAACTTAATGGATTTTTCTTGTTTTAATCTAAGATCATTCATTTTTCATCATTCATCATATTCATTATTTTTTAATATACTCTGACACAAAAAGTAACGAGAGGTTTTATGAAAAGTGAGATTTCAAGATACTGTCTTAGGAACTTTCATGGATTTACACGAAAAATGAATCTTTTCGATCGAAATGATTTTTTCTCATCATTTTTCTCATGTTCGAATGGCATTCGAGAAGCCATCGAGATGTATTCAATATTTTGTTAGTGAGGAAAAGTCAATTTCGAGAACGACACAATTGAACAGAAGGCTGTAGACCTTCGTTTTATTGGGATATGTCGTTTTCAATATGTAATATGCAAGATCTATGATTGCTCGGGAAAATGAAAACAGAAGCTAGTCGGAAAGTCGAGTCCTAGTATTTCTGCGATCGAAATCGTGTACATTTCTAACTTCCAGAAATAAGAGGGGATGGAGATACCGAGTTACGCATGATTGAAATAAATGTGACTCTTCAATTGAAAGTACTTTAACGTAACATAGAAAGACATGTGAATACATTTTTCGCAGCGGCCTGCTCAACCGCTTTCGAGCATAAGATATATCAATCGGATGTAAGGGGTCGTATGTTACATAAAGTACAGAGTGTCCTAAAATTAATCATTTCATTAATGTTGCTGATTAATTTCAAACACAACTGATTAACTTCAAACTAATTTTAAACTGCTGTTACAATTAGTTCAACTAAAAATTATTCGCATCTCCAGTAAAAATTTCATTCAATATTGTGGTTATTTCTTAACACATATCAATGTTTTTTTTAATTCTTATAACATTATTAGTTTTCCAATATAAACTTCATCTTTTAGAGAACCCTATAGAATCATGTCTAAGGCAATTAAATCCGAAGAGCACGGTGATCAATTAAAACTGGAATGTTTGCTTAAAATTAAGCAGTTAGGGAATATCTTCTTCTTCAAAAGAATCTTGGAATATACATCTATTCGTTTTAAATAATCACGCGTCCTTCTTTCATAGTCAGCATAACAAATCTCGAAATTAAATATATGTACAACTATTCAAAATAAGGTGATTGATTTTGAGACACTTTCTACTATGACCCTTGATTGCGAAAAGTGCACTACGACGATATTTTTATGTAAAATTAACGACGAGATGGACAGATTGCAGCGATAATGGTCAATAATCGATGTATTATCGAATTTGTCTTTTTCAATATGTTCGTCCATCTAATTCTGCGTATTCTTTCCCCCTTTTTCTTAAGAACAATGATGACGTCGTTAATGTTTCGGAGGAATTTCATAATGTAAGGCTTCCGGGAGACATGCTTGACTAAACGTGATTTTTATATAAAGCGTTTGTACAAAAAACGTTTTCTTGTTTACGTTATCACGTGAAATATATTATATCACAAAACACGAATAAAGGAAAAGTTGCAGACTTGTAGGAGGATCTCGTTGCAGACCCAAATGTTTGCACTTTTCTATATTTTCTTCTAAATTACATTTTTACTCCTATATAAGCATGCATAATCATAATCAATTCTCCAATATAATCCTAATCCCATAATATACAATTCCAATATGTTCTCATAGGGTCAGAGAATAAAAAGTTAAACCACTTTCATTTTGATGAGTTTTGTAACATATCCTATATGCAAGAGAAGAATTTGGTTTTTCATAATCCTCTAAAGATACATTTTTTTCTATTGAATACTAGAGAAGTTGAAGCCGATATCTGAAATGGGCATCAGAATTGACTCAGAATTGACAGAATTGAATTAGTTTTGCATAACTTTGTTAAGTACGGGATATGTTGCCAAGCTCCTCGAAATAAAAATATTACAATTTTTATTTATTAACAGAATTTTTATTCACTTTTTCAACCACTAATTTCAAGTCGAATTTTACACAGCAAACCAACAACGAAAGACAAAAATCATCAACTGAAAGGCAGAAAGAAAGGAAAAAATTGGTGTCTAAAAATAGAAGAGTAAGGCAAGAAGAGACGAGTGAGAAGAAGAGTACAACAAATGCAATATACGTATACAATGTAGAATATAAAGTAATTACGTAACAACGATATAGCTATGACAACGCAAGAAGCCAAGCTACAACTCAAACTTATTTCTACATGAAGTCCATACCAGTCATCGGTAATGAAAATGTCTACAACGAGACTTAAAGGGATTAAGGTAACAGTAAGGTAACAGTAAGGTTCATGTCAACGTACGATGCTCATTTTTAGTGTCAAAATAAGTCACGTGATTAAAATCGCTACTGGATAGTGAAAATTGCATGAAAAGGATATAATAATGTGTCGAATTTTGAACACTATAATGCCCGTCGCGCGTAGTTTCTCTGTCTGAGAATTATGTCATTCCGAAATAAATATTACGTGGTTAAAAGAATAATATAGAAAAAATAATAGAGCATAATGTATATGTATGTGTGTATATAAACACATAAAACATTTAAATATTCGAATTGGTAGTTCACATTACGTGGTGCTAGAAGTTAAATCAAATTCAGTTCCTTTTTTTGATGTTAAAGTCAGATTATAATTACATGACCACGTTTTCTCAACGCGAATATTTTATGAACAGCACTCATTGAAATATATGGTTTGCTCTTTTTAGCTACACTGCTGAACTGGTGCAATAGGTTAGAGTGAGATAAATATATTTTGTCTCGCTCTACTTTATTGCCTCAGTTCAGCCGTGTAGCTTAAAAGGACAGGCCAACAGATATATTGAAAGAAGCACAGCCATATAACGTTTATGGGCGGAAAATCAAAGACAGATAGATATTTAGAGTTATTAGGGTTTAGAGTATTAGAGTCTATCTTTTTCTAAAGGAGAATTCACACTTGGACAGAAAAGCAGAAAGCAGAAAGCAATCAGAACTCGCGCTGGTAGTCGACAGTTTCTGCTTTATTTACTGCTTACTACCAGCGCAAATGCTGATTGGCTTCTGCTTTTCTGCTTTCTTGTCAAGAAGTGAATTCTCCCTAAAGAACTCGATGCATGCACACAAGGTATGAAGGTATAGGGAGACTAAAAAATGGAATCATATTGTGTTTTAATTGCCTGGAACAGTCCCATATATGTAATATTACTATATTGCCAAGTGAGATTGTAAAATCTCGTTATAAATGTTATGAATTTTTAACTGAAATCCCGTTTTTCGATGTCATTGATTCAATTTCAACTAGTAAAAAGTAACTAAAATGTAATTTAATTTCTACGATTGTAAAAATTTATTATTAAAGCTTTTATAAACATACGAGAATTTTTTCGGGTTTGTATACATTCCGGAACAGTGTAAAAACATGTATTTCCCTGAACGATCTGAATTGTCAACAGAAAATTCTAAATTCAACATTGCCGATAGAAGGTTAAATATTTCAGCACAATATGTTATATATATAATTTAATTTGAAAAAGAATTTAGTTTTAAACAACGATTGTATAACATATTCATTGTGTTTTAAGCCTCCATTAATTAATATTAATCAAAATTTTTAGTTTCTTAAGCTTTTTGTCAAAATAATTATTTTGTCCTTTAAAGACCAGAGCTAACTTGTGCACGCTTATCGACAGTTGTCTATAAGCGTGTACAGAATAACAGCCCAGATGGTCCATTGTGATTGTGGTTTCAAATGACAGTAGTTGGAACAACTAACAGTAACGAAATAATTTCTATTTTGATCAATTTAAATGATTTTAAATTACTTTGTTTTGTCATAAGTTGGAGATTAAAATTAGGTGACTATGTTCAATGCATTAAGTGCTTCATAAGTTGGTACCTTGAAAGACCAGATGACTTACAGTAGTTGTAGTTACTAACTGTTGTTATTGGAACAACTAACGGCAACTGAAATAAGAAAGTAAAATAAAAAAATTGAGAGAAAAAAATAATATATAAATATATAGTTCTCTTTAGTTTATAGATCTTTAATATAATATTTGATATGATATTTTAGGTTTTTGCTGTGTAGGAAAATACTTAAGCGGGCTTCCAAAAATTTAACTTATCCGCTATTGATCAGTTGTTATTGTGTTATCCATTCTTACCGACAAAAACTGACACATTGAAGTTCTAATATTGAACAGCAGTGTCGCTCTTTCATGTTGACTTTTCTTGAGCTTCTTCATGTTACAGACGCTGCGTGAGAGTGTAGCTGCATCGCGAATATCGTAAAAAGTACAAAACTGTCTATAAACTAGACACATGTAATAAGGCAGTATTTTAACAAAAGATAACCTCTGAAAAGACAGTGAATAACTTTGTTAACATAACTCCAATGTTTTACCTGGGAGACAGAGATAAATATATAAGCATCGTATACCGTCTAATATTGCTAACAACTCATAATTAAAAGATGCGTTAAGGGATACTTGACAAGAATTGGGTGATAGTTAATATCGACATGTCCACGCGTTTTTTTAACAGTGTGTGTGTGTGTGTGTGCACGCGCGTAAAAGCTTTGCAAAAATGTTGCACGTGGGAATCATATGTCTTATTTCATCATATCGTATAAATGAAATAGAGCACTCTTTCTTACTGAATGAAAAATGTTTACTGTCCTAAAATCTCTAACAGAATTAGACACTATACATATATAAATATACAAGTAAATTAATAACATCATGAATTGTGACAATTTGGAACTGGATTTTATCTATCCGTTGTTGATACATTTAGTTCTAAAAGATATTATTTACATTTATAAAGTATTTTAATGATTTATTTCCTTTTCTTTGTTTTCTTTTTTTTATCCAGTGCAATATTTTCAGAAATATATTTAAGGTATCTAATAAATAACTGTATCGAAACTGTTATGTATACATTTATCAAAACAAAGTTACACGTTAAACTAACAAGCAGTAATATTACCAAATCTGAGCCGTTTTAGCGTTATACTTATACTTCCTTAAATATCGATAGAAATGCATGAATAATAACGATCTTTGTAGACACCGCCTATTGCCTGCAGAGAAGTTTGCACTTTTCCACAGTTGGATTTCATCGACTCCCTCATCCCTATTCTTTTTCTTCTTCTGCTTCTTCTCGTTTCATAACATCTTCCAAACTTTTCTTCTTGGAGACGTAAGAGACGCTTGATCTCAGAAATTATATTAGCTAAAAAAATCATACGAGGATCATTTGGCGGTGTTGCCCTTCACGCTGTTTTGTTACTGTTTAAAAAAGTATTATTATTATTTTACTACCAATAATAATAATAATAACAATACTTCTCCAATAATAATTATAATACTATTTCTCTAAACAGTGCACGGAGTAACATTCGCTAAATAATAATCCCCATACGATTTCTAGCTAGAATACCATCTCTGAAATTGAGCGTCTCTCTTACGCGTTTTATGCCATAAAGAGAAACTGTAGCAGCAGATGTTATGATGAAATGAAAGGGAATGGGGGTCGCGGGGGGATTGCAGCAGTCGGCCGATCCTTCAAGCTGGGAAAAGTACAAACTGCCCCTATCTGCAGGCCTGCTTTAAGATAATACATAAATCATATAAGAGTTACCATCCAAAACAGTTAAGAATATGTCTGCTGTGGTATATATATTGTTATATAGTCTATTATAGTGCCGAATGTATCATCATCATCATTTTCTTATTATAATAATAATAAAATTACTTGACATAACGACATGCTTTTCTCAAAAGCTGCTGCTCTAAATGAATAATTCAAAATGTTTTACGATGGATAGCCCGTACACCATCCTCATCAAACTCTCTTTTACTGACCCACATCTTCTTAAAAGTATCTAAAGAAGCCAAAATGGAACCACCGATCCAGGTACTGTACAATCGTTCCTGAGGCGCTGATATCTGTCATCATACACAATATATATGTAATTCTATATATATATATATATATCCTGCTTTTTCTTCTATCTTCTAAATTTATATATTTATGGGTTTTTACTTTTTTAATATTTTTCTTACCCTTATTTTAATGTCTTTCGGCGACATCCTACGAATTTCCGACAATAATCTATCACCAAATCCCTGTAATAAAGAATAGATGAGAGAATGTTATTTTTTTGTTTCTATGAAGTATAAATACAAATATATACATATACATGTATGTGTATGTATTTGTCCACTTACACGAAATAATGTTGATCCTCCAGACAGAACAATATTTTGAAATAGAACTTTTCTTAAATCTAAGTCGGACTTCTGAATGGAATATGTTAATACTTCATGAAGGCCTTCGCACTCTTCACCTATCAGATCTGGTCTAAAGAGTACTTCAGGTGCTCTAAATCGTGCTGGACCAATCTGCAAATATAAATATACATATATTTGATACATTAGAAAAGAAATATGTTAAATATATATAAAGATGATTTATTCTCTATTCCACGAAAATATCTTTTTTTTATTTACTATATATACGTAAACTACATCTTTATCATCAATTATTCGCCAAAGCTCAAATTGTTTTATTTACCTCCAAGTGACTGCCATCGGGCAATATATATTGAAACTTTTCAGTTTCTATAGTTTCTTCTTTCTGCGGGTTGCTGGCAAGATAACATGCTCGCTCTTTGATCATTCGTACAATTTCAAATTCTGCCGTAGTCTTGAAATTAATACCTTCCTTCCGTAAAAGTAGCCTAAGATGCCTTGTAACATCACGACCTGCTATATCGACTCGCATTATACTGTGTGGCATAGCGAAACCTTCATAAATCGGTACAGCATGTGTAACACCATCACCAGCATCTAGAACTACTCCTGTGGTTCTGCCAGTTGCGTACCTATTATATGTATATGTATATATTTTTATAAATATATATATTTATGAATAATAAATATAATTGTCATATATGCGTTTGCTCTTTCACTAGGAAACTAAAATTAGTTTCTAAATCTAGTATTGAAAATAAAAACTTGAAGACATTGCTTGCTTTTATTGTGAAAAATTACTCACAAACTAAGTACAGCCTGCATGGATACAAATAGAGCTGGGACGTTAAAAGTTTCAAAAAATATTTCTGCAGCCTTCTCACGATTTTTTCTAGGATTTAAAGGTGCTTCTGTGAGTAAAACTGGATGTTCTTCACTGAATGTAGCTAATTGATCTTTACTATATACGTAAGACCAAATATGTTCCATATCGTTCCAATCTGTTACTATGCCATGCTCCATCGGATATCGAATAGACAGAAGGCCGCGATGTTCCTCTGCTATTGGACCCACAAACAGATCACCCTCCAAAGCACCAGCCATAACACGTACATGTTTTGGCCTTCCAATACTAAGTAGAAATTATATATATTAAATTTTATACATTACACAGTGACCAACTAACATATACTAAAATTCACAAATTATATTTATTTATTATATATAAATTATATATTTATACTAAAATTTCTTTACAAGTGATTGATTTTCATTAAGACAGAATTGATTTAAATATTTTATTTGATTACAACTTCCACATGCACACACATAGTTATCTATATGTCTCATAAAGAGAAAAAACAAAATATATAATAATAAATCAAGAATAATCATTTAATTATGTTCAAGTGGAATATATAGCATTTGATATTATATTAAAATATGTATCATCTGTCAATCATCTAATATGATAACGATGCAACTTTAAAAAAAAAATGGATATTACTAATGTTAATTGGTAAATTGTTGTTGTTTTCATAGATACTGACTAATTTGGAAATCTGCATTTTGGTATCTGGCCACCTGCAAATCCTGCCTTGATTACGCCAGATCCCTGACAACAGAGCAAAACACTGTTTAGAAGTGTAAAATTCTATCGATTTTAGAAGAAACCAGAAAGAAAAATTTACATATCCATCGCGATCAAATCGATGGATTAGACTGTCGGATTAGAATATCGATAAACTCTCAAAGATACTCCTCAAAAATATAATCCACTGATATGATCCACTATACTAATATAAAAAAATATGAAAAGAAAAAAAAAGTATCAATAATTTCTCTTTTTAACTCTGATCACACAATACGATTACACAGTATCACACTATTATTGAATTCGACTTAAAGACCAACTTTGCAAAGGCAATAAATCATGCAACGCAAGGTTGCTGCCTCGTAGCTGCATCAGCTTTATGGGTGTGAAAGGACACTACTTCGACAGGAGTATATTACTTACGTTGTCAATAACTACCGGTTGATTGACGATCACGTCGTACGGCTCCATAATATAAAATAGAAATGACACGCGATCTTTCTATTCTATAACCGAAAATTCACCGTAATGATTCCCTACGAGCTTCAACGTAGTCAGTAGTAGATACTAACTATTTTCGAAAGAGATGTCAACGGCAGGGAATCATTGACAAATCTACGTAAGGACAGACAGGACAGCAGTAAGCTCAAATGGCCTTCATGAGGCTAGAGAAAGAGAGAGAGTAATTCTTCCCATCATTACCAGACGGCACTGATATCAATATTATAAAGTGCTCCTTTTTAATGCCCTTTACGTACACTAGGCGTAGCAGCAGTGATGACGACTAGTAGTAATAATAGTAGGGATGGGCAAAATCATCGATATTTGAAAAAAAACGATATTCGTTCATTGAGTATGAGCAGGTCCCACTTAACGCTCACAACGAATGCGAGCATCGTTCTGTCTTTGTTTAACATCCGAGAAAAGTAAGAATAGAATAATGGTCGTGATCATTGCAAACGTTAAATGGAACGCACCCTATAGTCCACATCTAGAGAAAATAGTTTAGGGACTTTGGAAATTCTCTATCCAACTGCCGATCGACATACTCATGCAAATTCTTGTCGAACGATACACATTCTCGTCGTATGGCGCACATCCTCAATAGCCGATATTTAATAATTGAATCTTATGGTTTCTGCCCACAAGACGTGATAACGCTTGCCGCACGACGGAAGTTCACGCGGTAGCCAATCAACGTGCCGTTTTTCGATAAGAACTAGAAGTTTATTGGCTACCAAGAGAAGTCCACCACACGACAAACGTTGCCACATCCTGTGGGCAGAAGCCATTAAATATTTAAGACCGTCTGAGGCAGGCAGCCCGATCGACTTGCGCACCAAGCATTCAATTAACCTAACCTTAACTGATAAACTCAACCAAATGAATTAACCAATCGCACTCAAATCAATTTAGTGCTAATTAGCAAATGTCAAATCAAGGTCATTTCCGTCGATTCAGTTAGAATCAGGATTAAGGTTAGAGTTAATCGGATGCTTAAGTTGGTCATATTCTCAAACTACGGATTAAGATTAGGATTGGATTGGAATTAGGCTAATTAGAGTAAAATTCACTTGACTCAAGTTTAGTGACATTTAGTGAATTCTACACTAATTGGTTAAATCTCAATTCAATCTGAATCTTCAATCCATAGTCTAATACAGACTTAAGGATGTTTACGACAAGTCAATGGATTTCCAATCCGACTGAGCAGTGGTGTTCAATCATTTCATTTCCAAAAATTCCCTAGACTAATTGGATTCCGTTTGCTATCTCGGCAGTAATCAGATTAGATCTAGTAATTCGAGAAAAACAAGTCTCTAATTTGCATGATATTGTAATTTTAGTAAAAGTAGAGTGCGTTGAGACAAATAGGTACGTACGTGACAATTATTCTGATATATATTGATATTGCTACTATTACTACTTTTTTATTAAAACAATAAATATTGACGCTAAAAATAATTGCAATTTGGAGTAAAATTATCAAAACTTTTTCTCTTCCTAATGTAGCAGAAAATATTTGAAACGAATGAATAGGAAAAGTAAGTGCCAGGAGAAAAAGAATTAAAGAGAAATGGAGAAAAAGTGGAAAAGGGGAGAAAAGAACAGGTATATATTTAATTGTACAAAACCAATTAAATAATAGATGAATAAATTTTTTTAAATATATTTTGTGTAAAAATTAATACTTTTATATGTGGTTCTTGGCTACATTGTTGGCAGTGTATATGTGTTGTAATAGTGTTTATCATAACAGCACTTATGGTTGTTAATATCCTCTTTTTTTACAAAGGTCGCAGAAACAGCTAGATTTTCGCTTCGGTTGCAACCGATGGCTTTTGGATACAATAGAGGAACATGGGGGCAATTTTTGCTTTTCTGGTGGTTCTTTACAACATGGTAGAACATAAGGATCCTGTAGTAAATAGACCCGTAATTATAACGTAATTTATCTAACACTCACACATATACATATCAGTGATATATACCTGATTTTTTTTATTTGTACCTGCATTTTTATATAACAACAAGATACTATTTCGACCACGTTATACGACCGCTTCTTCTCGGTGGTATATGGTAGACCAATATTAACATCTTCTTCAGTCTTTTCTTCGAATTTTGACTTGACGCATTTTTTCTTTAGTTTTTCCATATTGGGAGGACACGCTGTTTGAAATTGTCTCATACCCCATTCTAATCCTGAATTTACTATACAAATAATTATGTTTTCACAATAATTTTAATTGTTATTTCCATAAGAAAAAAAGGATACATTGCTATCATTGAGTTATTATTAAGATATGTAGCTGTCATTCGACTAAATTTGTCTCGAAGTCGTGCGAAATTTGTGCAGTATCGGTTATTCAATATAAATAACCACAAACCATTTACCGTAATTCATTAATTGGTCCAGAATATTTCCACATGGTGTATCATCCGCCATAATATAAGATTATAAATTTGACATTTTATTTACAAATTCTGTTGTACAAAATTATGAAAATTAGGCAGTTTCTTCTTTATTTTTTTTTTTTTCATGATTGAGATACATTGGGAATATAAAATAACATGTGTAAAACTATCGATTGTACGCATCATTGCCAGTCGTTTTTTTTTCTTTGACAAAAAACGAGCAAATATTTTCCATCGACATAAGAATATCTCTGGAGCGTCGAAAATTGGCGTGTAATATAGGTACATACGGTATAAAGGATAAATAATTGAACCAATATCCGCGAAATAGGAGGAAACTTATGACCCGGAAAAAAATTGTTATATATGAATATTTTGCTTTACATATGTGTTTATAAATAACCATATATAATTATATATGTCTTATCTTATGGCTGTCTAAAATAAATAAACACTTAATTGGATCGAAACATTTTTTCCATTTTTCACTCAATAGTATTTTTATTTCGAGTGTACAAATAGTATATATAATTATATTATTATTAATTATAAATATTAGTCGATTATATATAATTACATATTATGTACCAATATAAAGATTCAAATTCATTTCAAATTCATACATAAACTACATATATATCCAGTGAGCAAATTAATCGCAGGCTGCGTACAGATTAGCAGCAAATTTGATCAGAATCCTATACCAAAACCATTACCATCTGTGTCCGCATTCAGCTCGTGATTTGATGACAAAGCCTGCCGCCAATCTACCCGCAGTAAGATATGTTTGGCATTGCCACCAATTTGCCGTCAGATTGTTACAAGCTCTGCTCGGTTTTTGCCGCCAATTTGCTCGCATTGCTTGTCAATGGGCTCTGTCACATTTCTGACAGCAGTTTGGCAACATAATGTGAAAGAATCAAACCTGTATTGGATTTATGGTCTTTCTGCTATCAAAAATTTGTTGCAGGCTCTGTTCGAAATCTGTTAGCATGGCTATTTGAATATATATATAAATAATTTTTATATGATTATAAACATTTTTTTTCTGGAGATATTTCGAGTCATATTCGGGGCTCGACTTGTCCCTCTTCCCCTCCCGGGGGTCCCCCTTTTCTGGGGTCATGCGTCTTAATTTATTAATGTGTATGTATGCTAAAGATCTGTCTTTTCCAAAAAAAAGAAAAAGAGGAAAAGCTGCTTCTAATTACTGATTTCAATTACTAATCTGTCATACTATGTCCCGCGTAATATAAAAGTTATTGACAAGACCTTTTTGAGATATTTCCTATAAAAATAATGACATCCGAAAATATAGTCGCCAAGTGAGAATGACAATTTAATATTACAAATATATAAAAGAAATTCTGAAGTAAATTTTATTAAGCAAAATTATTGTACCTTTGAACAGGACTATAAAAAAAGAAAATGTTGCTAAGAATAAAAATTATGTTCTACAAAAATTTAATTTTTCAAAATTAATTAATTTTGCTACACTTCAGCAAATTTTAAAAAAATATCTCACATAAAAAAAATTGGTAAGAGCTTTCTTGTTATTTATAAAAGGTTTACAATGAATTGTCTGCTGATTGGGTCGATGTTTGACTTTTGTCCGCTGATTGGCTCCGACGCTTGACGCTCGACGTTCGACACTACCATAAAATTGTACTTTAAATCACACACTTTTGGAACCCCTTCGGAAACACTTGACACACGAGCAGGCACACGGCACACCACCCCATCCCCGTTACTTTCTTTCTTCGAAATTACGAAAATACACCACGACTGGGATTCCCGAACGCAACTCTGTTTTTTCGTCGGGTGATTTAGATGAGACACGAAGGTCTCTCGGAGGTCTTTCCGAACGACGCGTACATAGATATGTACGAATATATACTGAACAACAACTGAGTGACTTTCTTAACGGCTAGTGTGTATTAGTAGGATGTACACACAATTTTCAGATTCTCGAACGCAAGCCTATTCGCAGTAGATTCGCGAACTTCTTTAAAGCCCGTATCAGACTATGAATTGAAGATTGAAATTGAATTGAAATTTGATCAATTAGTATAGAATTCACTAAATTTTACTAAACTCGAGTTTAGTAACTTTACACTGATTGGTTAGATTCAACTCAATCACCAATCCATATTCTGATACGGACATTATGGCTTCTGCCCATAGGAAATGCTTGTCGCGTGGCAAGAAGCGACGCAGCAGTCAATAAACTTTTAATTCTCGTGGAAAAACGGCACATTGATTGGCTATCACGTTCCGCCGCGCGGTAAGCGCTACCGCGTTTTATGGGAAGCCATTAGTAAGCTAGTTATAAAACTAGTTACAACAGTATGCAGTAAACGCCGCGAGCGTTAAGTGGAATGACGTGAAGGGCAATTTGGGCGTTGCGATCATTATGTGAAATGCACCCTTGAAGGACTCTCCCCAGTGCAATCGGTTCAATTATAAAGAACAGATCTTTGGTTTATTTTACCTCATTGTTGGTAAAACAACTTCAAACGTTCCTCTCACGAGCACTTGGCATTATTGTAAAATCTTCGTAGTAAGTAGTATTGTTTCATATAATTATACTAGAACATTAAATATTGTAACCTGATTTGTAGGGGTGAAATTAATTTAATTAAAAATGAAACTATTTTTCTTTTTATTTTCAGGACGGAAATTTAAAAATCTAAAATTGTAAATATCAATGTCATTATTATTTACTTTTACTGAAAATATAAATATATACGTTAATTGGCTGAACAATATTTTCATATAGAAGAATGTCTGATGATTTACTAGCAAAGGAAAGAAAATTTCACAGATTGAATCGAGAATTGAAAACACATGACATAATGAAGGAAATTAATTCTATTGTACATACTAGTACCAGTACTAGTATCAGTAATGAATTGTTCAATGATGCAAAACAATTACATAGTTTTACGATGATAGATGTAAAGACAACTTATCCAAGAGACAAAACATTAAATACACAAGACAAAAAGTCGAGAAAATCATCTTCACTCGAGGCTTCTGAGATCTTAAATATAGGAAATATTGCGGATACTGAGAATTCATCAAAACAGTACAACAGTTTAGGAAATAAAGCTATTATTGAATTATTTAAAAGCAAGATAGATATGTTACACAAAAAATTACAAATAATACAACTTGATTATAACAAGAAGGTAATTCTTAACATATCATAATTAACTTACTAAATTAACTTACATAATTAACTTAAAAGTGAATCCAGTTTGTAAGAATAAATGTATAAAATATTTCCCATAGTGTGAATATTATAAAGAATTAGAACTGAAAACTAGGAAGCTTGGTGAAACTCAAGTTAAATTACATAGCCGGATAGGATTATTAAGTGATGCAATTGTAAAGCTAGAA